GCTGACCTCTGCTATAGGCAGGCATCAAGTAACAGTAAGGCGGCCAATCGTTAATGCTAAGTTTTGTTTACTGATAAGAAGCAGCATTTAAAAGTACACTGTGGTTTAGAATCCATTGTAATTAACCGTCATTCTGTCATTTTGTAATATTGACCATGGATGTTTCACAAATTGTAGAATTTAATTAGAAAATTAATTTTGTTTATTCAATTTCCTTTCCAGAAGTACCAAAAAACTTCTAAATCGGTGCAATATACCCTACACACTGATTGATAGCAATTTGCAACCCTCTCATAAACATTCACATTTGAAACTGAATTTGACATCTTCTTACATAATTAAAGAAATAACTGAAGTTTGCCCAATGATGCTGTTTATACACAAATATTCAGGAGTTCAACCTGAGTATTATGATATAAATACCTATTTTCTTTCATTTTTTTTTATTTTTTTATATCAAAAATGAATGAATTTTAGTGTAGATCAAATTATGAACTGAACAATTTAAATTTGGATAATTAGAATCGATATCCAGGTAAAAAATTGGAAATATCACATTTATAGCTCAGACAGATATAAGCAGATACTCACATTGACATTTCTTGGAAAATTGTGCTTTTTTGCCACATATCCTACAGGTGTTAAGTAAACAATCCGCATTGTGACTACTGTTCAAACTTGTCATAATCCAAATTAAAGTTCATCTCACTCATTTAAAAATAAAAATGAAAGAAAATATTGCACTAGTGATTGACAAACGTGAAACTTTTCAGAACAACTACATTATATGCTTCTTGTACAGAAAACTTCTGATTTTTCTTAAATTAACTTTGAAGATGGAAAGTATCAAGATAAACTAGCATTCCTAAGGTTAAGAAAATCAGACTAATGGCTATTAAGAGTATCAAATTGGTGAGAAAGGAGTGTTGGGGTTTAAAGTGATGACAGGCTAATTAATTTATTTGCTGAAGATGTTAATTAAGTATACCATATAGTTGTAGTTCCAATAAAACCATGGAATCAAGAGGAATCTGAACAGGCACATTAGCCGTATTGTTTATCATAACAACAAGCAACTGAGCATGCGTAGCATTAACAGCTGGTCTGCAGCTTAACTTCCTAGCAGTTGACCTCAATTCCATTTTGCCTATCTATGAAATCAGTGTGCAATGAAATAGATAATGTACAATTCAGATTTTATATTTTATTACAATTACATTACAATTCGACAATCATCTTGGATGCCAAGGTGTATAGTTCTCATACTTTGGGATCAGAGGCGTAAAATAAATGGACTAAAATGGAACTTAAAAACGGTTCCACTTGTAAGGTGTTACGCTTCAAGAGGTGTTTCACTTAGCAGGTTCTAGAGGTTCAGTGTATATATCATTTAATGCTAATGTATTCAAATCTAGGCAGAAAAACAAAATGAACACACACACAGTGACCATTTAATTGACTGAATCAGTTTGGACATACATTTTGCGAGATCCCCATTTTCTTCTCTTGAAAAGAATATAGATATGGGTGTATGGTTTGCTGAAACTCACGCTATTGGCTGATCCATTCGTTTCTGTGTTAAAATATTTATTCCATGTTATTGAAGGGGAAACGTGAATTTCATCATGGTCAAATGGAAGTCCAAGACCCTACCTAAGTATAAAAAATTAAAGAGAGTAAAAACGTTCTATTGTTTTTGATATTTTCAAGCTTTTTAAATAAAATAACACATATTGTATCGCATTTATATCTTTAAATTGTAAAATCAATAACATATACGAAAAATGGTCAAACTAATATATATTTCTCAAAGCATATGAGTGTTCTTGTGCCTACAAAACCTAATTGAATCACCAGTAGCCTGTAATATAAACACAAATAAATCTTTTAAAAGTAACCGTTACAAAATATTTGAATTTTGCGCATCTTGTCGAGTCTTTGATCACGCACTTTTAATAGTAGGCGATCATTGTATATACAGTGCATCTGTCATTTCTCTGGAATGATGTACACTTTCCTCCAAAAGATTGAAAACAATTGTAGTACAGTAAAACCTGTATATCTGAACACTTGGCTAATCCGAACACCTCCCAATTTGAACATTTTCTGGTCCCGTTTTTTCTCCCATTGACTCAAATGTTTAAAAAACTTGAAATATGAACATCTCCCAATTTTGACAGTGAACAGTCATGTTTGAAAATTAACCTATCTAATCTGAACACATAAAATATCACATGTTCCATAAATTGATCAAATATTTGAAAAAAAACTTGAACGATCTCACTCATGGTGGGGCTTTCTAGGATGACTAAATTCATTTGAATCAGATTTTTATGTCACTCTAATGCCAAAGCTAAGTAGTCAAAAGAACTATAATATTTATTGAGAATTTGTTTCTATTTCTTCAAAAACCCAAATCTTGCAAATGCAAAACCTCAAAATGTGAACACCTCCTAATCCGAACGCTCTGAGCTGGTCCCTTGGATTAGACAGATTTTACTGTAGGTACAATCCCCTCTAAAAGTTACTGAAATCACTGGCTGGGAATTGGTGTTCGCTTACACACAGGTGTTCAATAGAGTATACTCATATGTTCGCTGGGCACAGTATTTCACTAAAGAGATGTTCATTATGACAGTTTTACTGTACTGGGAATTGGTGTTCACTATACACATGTGTTCAATAGTGTAGACGCATGTTTTCACTGGGCACAGATCTTCACTAAAGAGGTGTTCACTATGACAGTTTTACTGTACTAAAATCAATCACTGGGAATTCACTATATACAAAATTGAAATCTGTGTATCATGCCACCCCTGCAAAATAATTGACTTGCCCACTTGGTCTCTTGGATCCACTTGCAAAATATATATAGTAGATGTGAATATTTTCGAAACAAATGAGTGATATATACACATATTTTGTACTAAATGCGTGACATAAACGGCAATCGCGTGCAAAGACCGAACGGAATGCGTTCGCTTTTTTCGCCATTCGGTATTTTACCGTGTTGGCCAGGGGGGAGATTCCCCAAAGATGCCCTATCATATTAGCACGTTCGAAAACAAATTTTATAAACAGGCCTCAATTTGCCGTTGAAATGGATCTCCAAATTTTCAATGTAGTTTTATGAGTATTCTTTACAAGTATGGATCGAGTAACTTCAATAGTATTACCGTAGGTTTGAAATGACGATGTTGAACTGATGTAAACGCCATTCCCATGATTTCAAATTTAACTCTGCGCATGCGCAGCACTGAGAGAGCATGTGCCCATGATTGTTCACGTGATCGAATCCTGCAATTTGATTGGAGATGAAAAAAGCACTTGGTGAAAAATGTGTATACCCTCTGGGAGCCACCAGCATGCATTTTCTTGGTGTTGTATTCTCTAAACTACCATAGTGACCATATTTTTCATCAAAGTTAAGATGGTCAATGACATTTGGCAGTCTCACGCCCGGTGATCTGATGAAATGAACGGAGGGGGAGTAGCTGATTTTCGGTAAATTCAACAAATGTTGAAGATTTATTTTTTCAAGCAAAAGTTTACAATTGAATGGCTACATGAATAGGTGCAGTGCACAGGGAAATATGTTAGGTCTTCTTGGATTTTTTTTGAACTGATGGAGTTCTAAGATAAAAGGTCTATTAAAAAAGGCGCAGCCTCGCCAACGTGCAAATGCCAATGTTTTTGCTATAAATCAAGCAACAATGGTCTGCACGACATGTAATAAATATATAAGCGACATTTTTATATCACAAAATTCATTGCCGGTTTTTTAAAATAATTTTCCAAATGATAGATAAAAAATAATCGAAAATGATTAAAATTGAACGGAGGGGGGGGGGGGGGAGTGAACGGAGGGGGGGGGGGAGTAAAATGTCTTTAAGGTGGAAGAAAATTCCACAAATTCGTGTACTTGAAAAATAAACTCACTTACTCAGTAACTTGATGTTACAACTCTGAAAAGTGAAAAATGGGGACATATGGATTTATTGGAAGTTTTCATATGTCTTATAGACAAATTACTCCCCCCCCTCCATTCAATTTTAATAATTTTCGATTACTTTTTATATAACGTATGGTAACATGTTTTACAAAACCCAATAGTTTTGTGATAATTACTTCACTTACAAGTATTTATTACAGGTCGTGGAGACCCCTGTTGGTTGATTTATAGCAAAAACATTGGCATTTGCATGTTGGCGACGCTGCACTTTTTTAATAGATCTTTTATTTTAGAACTCCACAGTTAAAAAAATCCAAAAAGACCTAACATATTCCCCCGTCCACTGCGTCTATTCATTTAGCCATTCAATTGTAAACTTTCTCTTGAAAAAATAAATCTTCAAGATTTGTTGAATTTTCTACCGAAAATCAGCTAGATCTACTCCCCCCTCCGTTCATTACTTCTGATCACCGGGCGTGATTCTTATTTGAGACTGTATTTAACACCTCCAGTGGATTTTGAATGAAAAGGGCACAAAACTCTTAGTTTGAGAGGGATTTTCTCTAAACTAACAGTATCGATTGACCTGGAATTTGAAAACAATTATAGAGACTACTTTTCCATGTTTCTCCAACACGGTTACAGTAAGAGAGTTGATGGGGGAACTTTAGGGTACAATTTCTTCATAATTAGCCTTCTTTAATTCTAGATAGCATATACCATATTTTCTAAAATACCATATACCATATTTTTTACACCTCTTATACCATATACGATAAATTTTGCCCCCTCTTATACAATATACAATAAATTTTCAGCCTCTTATAAGATATACAATATCTCTATACACCCCCCCCCCCAAGATGCAGGACAGGGGAGGCGAGAGGGGAAACTGTCCCAAAATAAATAAATAAACCTGTGTTCAGAGGTGACTTTACATATAGAGAAAGATTCTTCCACTATGAATTCTGGGATATTTCCTCCTGTTGTCAGCGTGTTTGTTTTGAAAATCAAATACGGTATGCTCTGAATCTCCTATTTTAGAGAGCTTTAGCAAAATGCTATGTGAAATTTTTTTACTGAATTTAGTTTATTGCCTATAAATACATTTCAAAAGCAGTAACTGTACACTACAACCAATCAAACAAGTCATATAAATGTAGTCAATGTTCAGAGCATTTAAAATGACGGATACATTCATGTACTTTGCATATGGAAGCAATTTATTGAAAAAGAGACTTTTACTACAGAACCCCTCAGCTGTTGAAGTGTCCACAGCAAAATTACGGGTATGTCGTGTTATTTCGATGTTTATTATTATTGCTATATCGCTAACAGAGTGAGGAAGAAAAAAGCAAACAGGGACAAGGCAAAAAATATTTTAAAGAAAAAAGGGGTTGTGCTAAATACCACCTAGTCCAACAACATTAGACCTAGCCCGGGCCTCGTTTCTTATCTGACATGTGTTATGGCCCGGCTAGGTCTAACCTCCATGACCATTTTGCCTTTGATGCGTTAATTTAATCGTTCAGCAGGTTTCGACAAGCGGAACAAATTAAACCCTGAAAACATGGCAATATTACACAAAGAATGTGATTCAAACATGCATACATACCTTACAAACACATACACCCCGTCCCGTATCCCCCTTAGACCCTATTGATGCATGATTACGAAAATATTGGAGACAGGTTTGGAATATGACGAAAATGTCGGTCAGTTTCGGTAACATCGAAATTGCAAATCGTTTCAGGAATTAACCGTCATCACGGCACTGCATTAACGAACAGTGGGTTTGCAATTAATAACTATTTTGCGTGTATACACGCGCTATATAAATTAATCAAAGATATCCGTTATCCTCAAAATTGATCTTTTTATCCCGAGTAATCGCGATAATAATTATCAATCTATTTGACAACAATTTCGTTTCGCTGGTAGTTTAATTTTACGATCCGGGACACTCAGACGAACAGACACAATGACGGAACATGCGGAAATGTCACTTTAGAGATTGGTAAGTGTGGCCTCATTTTACTCGTATAAATGAACATTTAACACAAAAATATTGTGTTAAATCGCTTGATGTTATGTGTTTTTATATTATTGTCAAGTATCAGTTGTACGTTATCGCGAAAAAATGGTTTCGATGGATTCAGAACTTGCATCAAAGGAAAGAATAGCAAGGAGGTTAAACTCAATAACGGCCCCAACAAAATTCCTAATAATAAAGAACGCCGTTATTGAGTTTAACGACGTTGAACTAAATACCACCTAGAGGTGCCCCACACCACATGAACCTGTATCAACACCTGAGAGTGATAACACGATATCTATTGGTGACCAAACAACAGATATAACCCTTTTATCTCGTATAAGAGATATATTCCCAGGGTTCTGTCAACAATAGATATCACTGTCAGCAGGGCTGTCAACTTGGGACCACCTAATATGAGTGACTTCAAAATGTTGGACACCTAAGTCCAAATCTGAACACTTTTGTCCAAATTTTGAACACCTTTGGCCAACTTTTAAACACCTTTGGCCAAAGTTTGAGCACCTCTTTGAACACCTCAAATTTTTCGCGCTCGCTACGCTCGCGATGTCGTCAACGGGGGGGGGGGGGGGGGGGGGGGGGGGGGGGGGGGGGGTAGGTACGAAAAATTTCCAATGAACATGCGTGACACATACGGGATTCGCGGGACAAATCCGAACAAATTGCGTTCGGTTTTTTCCGACGTTCGTATTTTTACCGTATCGTAAACATATTTCGAAAAAATTTCTACAGAAATATTTTTGCTTGACAATTGCCAGGTAATATGCGTATTTTGCGTGACATTTTCTGTCACGCAAAAAAAACTGGCGTGACTTCAAATTCTTCAGCAAATGCGTGACAAATACGCAAATTGCGGGACAGTTGACAGGCCTGTGTCAGGTGTTATCACTGTCACGTATTGATACAGGTTCCTGTGCCCCACACCTAGGTGTCCCCATGGGCTTTCAATTAGACTAGTTGAAAGTCCATGGAGTCCCCATTGAAATGCCTTGCTGGCATATTTTACTGCTTTATTTCAAGCTAACATTTTTCCTAGTGTTAATATATTACTTAAGAAAGTATTTTCATGGAACTTGTGTAAATAGTTCTGTTTGCTAATGATATTTTTTTAATTGTCTTGAAAATTTTGATAGATATTGAAAAGGTCATTTGTTAGGATGATATTTCATTATTTGCTCACTATAAAATGCTACAAATTCACTATTTTAGCAGCTTAAGTAACAATATACATATTTCAAATATGAATGCACACTTTCACCTCATGACTAACTGGCTAGAATGAAAAACATAAGAGTTAGCTAACAAATGGGAATCTCACTTACCTCATAGAAGTTAAATGCACTATTCAATGTAATCCATTCACCTTTGTGGCATCATCTATTGAAGTTAAATGCACTATTCAATGTAATCTGTTCACCTTTGTGGCATCATCTATTGAAGTTAAATGCACTATTCAATGTAATCCGTTCACCTTTGTGGCATCATCTATTGAAGTTAAATGCACTATTCAATGTAATCCGTTCACCTTTGTGGCATCATCTATTGAAGTTAAATGCACTATTCAATGTAATCTGTTCACCTTTGTGGCATCATCTATTGAAGTTAAATGCACTATTCAATGTGATCCATTCACCTTTGTGGCATCATCTGTTGGAGTTAAATGCACTATTCAATGTAATCCGTTCATCTTTGTGGCATCATCTATTGTAGTTAAATGCACTATTCAATGTAATCTGTTCACCTTTGTGGCATCATCCATTGAAGTTAAATGCACTATTCAATGTAATCCGTTCACCTTTGTGGCATCATCTATTGTAGTTAAATGCACTATTCAATGTAATCCGTTCACCTTTGTGGCATCATCTATTGAAGTTAAATGCACTATTCAATGTAATCCGTTCACCTTTGTGGCATCATCCATTGAAGTTAAATGCACTATTCAATGTAATCCGTTCACCTTTGTGGCATCATCTTTTGAAGTTAAATGCACTATTCAATGTAATCCGTTCACCTTTGTGGCATCATCTATTGAAGTTAAATACACTATTCAATGTGATCCGTTCACCTTTGTGGCATCATCTATTGAAGTTAAATGCACTATTCAATGTACTCTGTTCACCTTTGTGGCATCATCTATTGAAGTTAAATGCACCATTCAATGTAATCTGTTCACCTTTGTGGCGCATCATCCATTGAAGTTAAATGCACTATTCAATGTGATCCGTTCACCTTTGTGGCATCTTCTATTGAAGTTAAATGCACTATTCAATGTAATCCGTTCACCTTTGTGGCATCATCTATTGAAGTTAAATGCACTATTCAATGTAATCCGTTCACCTTTGTGGCATCATCCATTGAAGTTAAATGCACTATTCAATGTAATCCGTTCACCTTTGTGGCATCATCCATTGAAGTTAAATGCACTATTCAATGTAATCCGTTCACCTTTGTGGCATCATCCATTGAAGTTAAATGCACTATTCAATGTAATCTGTTCACCTTTGTGGCATCATCCATTGAAGTTAAATGCACTATTCAATGTAATCCGTTCACCTTTGTGGCATCATCCATTGAAGTTAAATGCACTATTCAATGTAATCCGTTCAACTTTGTGGCATCATCTATTGAAGTTAAATGCACTATTCAATGTAATCCGTTCACCTTTGTGGCATCATCCATTGAAGTTAAATGCACTATTCAATGTAATCCGTTCACCTTTGTGGCATCATCCATTGAAGTTAAATGCACTATTCAATGTAATCCATTCACCTTTGTGGCATCATCTATTGTAGTTAAATGCACTATTCAATGTAATCTGTTCACCTTTGTGGCATCATCCATTGAAGTTAAATGCACTATTCAATGTAATCCGTTCACCTTTGTGGCATCATCCATTGAAGTTAAATGCACTATTCATTGTAATCCGTTAAACTTTGTGGCATCATCTATTGAAGTTAAATGCACTATTCAATGTAATCCGTTCACCTTTGTGGCATCATCCATTGAAGTTAAATGCACTATTCAATGTAATCCGTTCACCTTTGTGGCATCATCCATTGAAGTTAAATGCACTATTCAATGTAATCCATTCACCTTTGTGGCATCATCCATTGAAGTTAAATGCACTATTCAATGTAATCTGTTCACCTTTGTGGCATCATCCATTGAAGTTAAATGCACTATTCAATGTAATCCATTCACCTTTGTGGCATCATCCATTGAAGTTAAATGCACTATTCAATGTAATCTGTTCACCTTTGTGGCATCATCTATTGAAGTTAAATGCACCATTCAATGTAATCCGTTCACCTTTGTGGCATCATCTATTGAAGTTAAATGCACCATTCAATGTAATCCGTTCACCTTTGTGGCATCATCTATTGAAGTTAAATGCACTATTCAATGTGATCCATTCACTTTGTGGCATCATCTATTGAAGTTAAATGCACTATTCAATGTTATCCATTCACCTTTGTGGCATCATCTATGGAAGTTAAATGCACTATTCAATGTAATCTGTTCACCTTTGTGGCATCATCCATTGAAGTTAAATGCACTATTCAATGTAATCCGTTCACCTTTGTGGCATCATCTATTGAAGTTAAATGCACTATTCAATGTGATCCGTTCACCTTTGTGGCATCTTCTATTGAAGTTAAATGCACTATTCAATGTAATCCGTTCACCTTTGTGGCATCATCTATTGAAGTTAAATGCACTATTCAATGTAATCCATTCACCTTTGTGGCATCATCCATTGAAGTTAAATGCACTATTCAATGTAATCCGTTCACCTTTGTGGCATCATCCATTGAAGTTAAATGCACTATTCAATGTAATCCATTCAACTTTGTGGCATCATCTATTGAAGTTAAATGCACTATTCAATGTAATCCGTTTACCTTTGTGGCATCATCCATTGAAGTTAAATGCACTATTCAATGTAATCCATTCACCTTTGTGGCATCATCCATTGAAGTTAAATGCACTATTCAATGTAATCCGTTCACCTTTGTGGCATCATCTATTGTAGTTAAATGCACTATTCAATGTAATCTGTTCACCTTTGTGGCATCATCCATTGAAGTTAAATGCACTATTCAATGTAATCCGTTCACCTTTGTGGCATCATCCATTGAAGTTAAATGCACTATTCATTGTAATCCGTTCAACTTTGTGGCATCATCTATTGAAGTTAAATGCACTATTCAATGTAATCCGTTCACCTTTGTGGCATCATCCATTGAAGTTAAATGCACTATTCAATGTAATCTGTTCACCTTTGTGGCATCATCCATTGAAGTTAAATGCACTATTCAATGTAATCCATTCACCTTTGTGGCATCATCCATTGAAGTTAAATGCACTATTCAATGTAATCTGTTCACCTTTGTGGCATCATCTATTGAAGTTAAATGCACTATTCAATGTAATCCGTTCACCTTTGTGGCATCATCCATTGAAATTAAATGCACTATTCAATGTAATCCGTTCACCTTTGTGGCATCATCCATTGAAGTTAAATGCACTATTCATTGTAATCCGTTCAACTTTGTGGCATCATCTATTGAAGTTAAATGCACTATTCAATGTAATCCATTCACCTTTGTGGCATCATCCATTGAAGTTAAATGCACTATTCAATGTAATCTGTTCACCTTTGTGGCATCATCCATTGAAGTTAAATGCACTATTCAATGTAATCCATTCACCTTTTCGGAATCATCTATTTCAGCATTTAGCACAATGTCCAAGAGATAGAATACTAACTGTGAATAATTCTCACTTCTCCATGAGCTCCAGAAGTTATGATGCGGAATATTGCCGAACACATGTGAAATTCAAATTTTTGGTTCACTTTATTTTGAACACACTTGCTTGCTCTCACTTTAGCCACTTTGAATGAAATCTTAATTATTGTGCATGATCAATGGTAACTCTGAAAACCACTGATATTTCAAGAATGTGTATTTATTGACTTAACATGTCTATTGTTATTCTATAATTATTTTCCTTTGCCTTTCTTTGTACATTGTCTTTGTATAATATATATATTTATATTGTTTTCAGGATTATAAGCTTGATTTCAATGGAGGGCAAGACGGTACATGGAGAGGAGCAGGTGCTACTATTGTGAAATCACCAGGAGATTGTGTATGGGGAATGGTGTGGATGCTTCACAATTCACATAAAGCAACACTGGACGAGTAAGATATACATTTGTTACAGAGTTCAATTCAAGGGTAGTTTTGCTAATACATTTCAGCATCTAGATTTTCCTTCACTTAGAATATTTTTTATCCCGAATCTAATTTGATCTAGAGAACATAGGGGCATCTTAGGCCACGGAGCATTCCCAGACAAACCTTTGGCATCAGGTGCAAATCCAGGGTATCGTTAGACTCTTTACAAGTCTAATTTGAAGTTTCAATAAAGAAATAATATAGATTGAATTAGAATAGAATTATCAAAGATCATCTGAGAATGCCCATATGTACCCTAAATACTAGTAGCAGATTGAATCTACATTCTACATGTATAAGTGTATTTTAGTGTTGGAAATTCTCCATTCATTCTCATGCTATCTGACTGCCTTTAATGCATGACTGAATCAATGAAGTACTGGTAGCAATTATAACAGTCTTCACATTTAAATACGCTATGCTCTTACTTCCAGTCAAGAAGGAGTTGAGGCCAAAATATATGAGCCAATACACATAGAGGTGACATCTCCTGAGGGAGAAGTATTCTCCTGCAGGTCCTACCATCAGATTCGTCCTGCTTCGGCTGATCAAAGGCCCTCCCCACAATATAAAGGAGTCATCATTAAAGGGGCAAAGGAAATTGGACTACCTGCAGATTATTTGGAATTTCTTGCAAAAATTGAAGACAATGGGTTTAGGGGTGAATTACAAATAATGAAAGATATGGGAATTACTCTTTAGTATAAGGTGAAATTAATCTGTATGGTGAACGTTGGTGCCTAATAATATAAGTTGCAGCAAAGAATAGAGATTTTCTGATTAAAATGTTTGAAGCAATCTTTTCAAAAAACATGCTGATGTCGCCAGATCAGTGACTGTCGACTGGGTAAATAGACATACAAGTATCTACATCAAAGCCTAGGTTTGTGATTGTCAATAAGAGTTCCAATTTCAGGGTTTGTAGAAAAAACCTGGTACTGGGTAGTAAATCCTCCATGCTGGGTTCAAACTTGGTACCCGGTACCTGGTCGAAAAAAAATGGGTACCCAAAAAAACGAAAAATACGAATATATAACATAATTAGATCATTAGAAAACGTGTAAGATTTGTTTTGAATTTACAAAAATGTATGTAACTTCCTTCAAAATTGAGATAGAAGCTTCAAATAAAACGCATTTTAAGGCTCTTTTCTTCCTCTATCATCATGGTCATATTTTAAGAATTTACGTACAGTAGGTAGAGTTCAGAAAAAATTGACATTTCCCGTATCAAATTCGTTTGATCTACTAAAATTGAGAATTCTCAATTGATAGCCTACACTGAATAAGGTGATATCGCTGGGTTTTTAACACAATTCCTAAAACAATCAACTCTTGTTTTAGGAATCATGTTAAAAACGTTGCCTAGGGGCTTTAATTAACCAAACTAGTCATTCTGTTTTACCTAACTTACTGAATCTAATGATAAATAATTAAAAACATGAACATGTATTTGTTGTTTATTGTTCAGCATCCCAGTTAAGGTTGAATTGCATGATGAGAATTTTATGTGGATTTTAATAGATTATGAAATCAAATTCCCACATAGATGTGTCTGATTCCAGCCTATCTGAACATGGTATTTCATATAACTGCACTTCATTATCTCAATGAACAAAGTTCTGTAGGGATATAGTGAAGCCCTCGATCCATCCATCCGTCTGTCTGTCTGTCCGGAAGATATCTCAAATACTAGTTTCTTCATATTTGGTGGAAACATGTATTGGTGACTAGTGGGAATTTGAATGGTATTGTTTTTCTGATTTGAGCCTTAGTAGATGGGTTAACTACATTCAGACATTTTGACTTCATTGTATGATGCAAATGTCCCATTTGAAATGGAAGTACCTTAGGGCAATAGAAATAAATTTATCCAAAGACACAAGCTAGATGGCGCTTTATATTGGAAATATATGCATTTTTCAAAATGGCCGCCAAAAATACACCAGAGACAATATCTGTGCTTCTGTGCATGCTGCAATTAAGATTGGTGTCAAAAAATACAGTGATGTAGTTGAAGAATCTATTTTATTAGATGTTGAGTCTTGACAATTAAGAACTTCCACTTTATATTCAAAATATATGCATTTTTCAAAATGGCTGCCAGAAATATAACAAAGAAGATATCTTACCTTACGAATACTTACAAATTAAGATATCTTACCTTACAAATGTCCCCTTTGGCATGGAAATACCTTAGGGCAATAGAAACAAATTTATCCAAAGACACAAGCTAGATGGCGCTTTTTATTGGAAAAATGGCCGCCAAAAATACATCAGAGACAATAGTTTTGCTTCTGTGCATGCTACAGTTATAAGAGTGGTGCCAAAAAATACATTAATGTAGTTGTAGAATCTATTTAATTAGGTTTCGAGTCTTGTAAATTCAGCACTTGCACTTTATATTCAAAATATATGCATTTTTTAAAATGGCTGCCAGAAATATAACAAAGAAGATATCTTCGCTTCTAAGCATGCTACAATGATAAGAATGGTGTCAAAGTATACATTAATTGGGTTGTAGAATCCATTTAAATAGGTTTGGAGTCTTTCATAATAAGAATTTTTACTTTATTTGAAATTGTGTGTTTCTAAAATGGCCACACTGATACCATTGGTGTCAACATTTTATATTTATGGGATAGGAGAATCAATTTCATTAGGTCTTGTGAGATAATAGTTTTCACTTTATATTGGAAATATAAGCAGCTGAAAATATAACAAAGATTATATCTTTACTTACAAAGATTGTACCTTTGCTAACAAAGATTGTATCGTTGCTTACAAAAATTGTATCTTTGCTAAAAGTTTCTTTGCTTCTGGGCATAATATTTCATAAAACTGGCTTCAAAATCTTCATTTTTAGAAATGTAAAACCTATTTAATTACTCAGATGCGAGTAGGTAGTTACCATTTTCCCCACCAGGTGGCTAATTCGGGTGAAATAACATTGCAGGGTATTACAAAGTTCCCTTAAACTTGAATATTCTTAATTTTTAGTGGTTCACATTTCATATTACTATTTTGTATCTGATAGTCGTACAAATGAAGATATCTCCAACAAAAGAAAATATTATCTGCACAGCACAAGGAAAGATATTTCACTTTTTGTGTTTTACAACATGGGGACTATGGGGAATTTCCCTGACCTAAATGTCACATTTTCGATGAAAATTCAATTTTAAAGTTGATGGACTCTTTTCAAAACCACATTTCTATATGCAATTTTTCATGAAGATTCCAAATTCGACAACAGTTAGACTGAATTTTGAATTTTTGATGACAAAAATAAAGATTGTTACTACTCGCATCTAGCTAATTGGATTAAGAGCCTTAAAAATAATCGTTTTCAAACTATTGAGTTTTAAATAATAGTCATTTTGAAAAATGCCTTCATGTATGTATGCACATACAGCACTGAATATTGTCACATTGAGAAAAATATTCTTATTTTTTTCATTTGAACATTTAATCGAAAGGCAGGCTTTTGTATTGGGGGTTGATGAGGGACCTTTTTATTATTTCTATTAATATTGAACAAAACATGCATATTTTTTTTTTGTCATTTTACTTTTGTTACATAAAATATTACGTACAAACATGTACATGTAAACAGTAATATTACAACCCTACAGCAGTGATTAATTGGCCTTTAAATGTCAGTATTTATCCCACCACCCTTTAAAATAAGCAAATCTGTATACAACCCTGCAAAGGATGTTTAGAAACATAAATTGCTGAAACATATCTCTAATATCCATCAGATATATTACAAAACTGGGGACCAATAATATCGTATATTCCAACATGAGTCATTTCTAGATGCGAGATATTTGTTCCCTGAATTTACTCATAATTTTCACTACAACATACATGTAAAACACTGCAAAGGTGTTAAAGATGCAAAAGTATCCAAATATTCTAGAATGATACAGTGATTATAAAAAATTGGCTCTTATGCACAATTATACAATGAAGCTCTTGATGAGGAGTCGTCATGAAGCCCTGATGTATTTCGGCCCACATAGTAGATGCACTTGGACACTAATTTATCAATACAACCTATCATTGATCCAATATTCAAGAGGTGTTTTCAAAATTTACCACTCAATTCAAAATGACAGCTAATTTTTTGGTAAGAATTATAAACTTGGATAACTCAAAAACTTGTGGAGAGATTTAGTTCAAACTTCAATTTCTGATGCCTGAGGGGCATAGGAGCTCTGAATGACATGAGAATTGCAAGTAGAATAGAGGTCAAAGTCAAGGTTGAGATGAGCAAGAAGATTGAGAAAATGAAATGTCCACAACATTTTAATGGGGGGGGGGGGGGGGGGTTTGAAATGTACATGTATTTCCACAAAGAGATTGTCCTTTTTCTATTTGGACTATAATAAATTTGAAATATAAGAGATCACATGCTCTTAAAGATACATGTGGTAGAAAAATATAAACTTTGTGTGTAAAATATACCCTGCAACTACACAACTTTGTTATTGTAACAACATGGCTTACATAATATGTATATCTTGTATCAAAATAATATGCAAAACATACTTTATATAGTTTAAGTAGATTCACTTTATAATATATCTTGTATGAATGTTTTTATATCTTACTTTGATGTATTTTTGTTCCAATTTTTGTTTGTTGGCATACTACAAAAACTTCTATGATAACCTCAACATACATGTACAGGTCATTAGCAGCTTCACTATGAGTTCTCCTTATAAAATATATTCTGTATTATCGAGATCTACTTGTAGATCCAATGTGGCATGGACTTGATAAAACATATTCTGTATTATCTAGATCTACATCTAGCTCCAATATGGCCCAGGCGCGATAAAACATATTCTGTATTATCTAGATCTACATCTAGCTCCAATATGGCCCAGGCGCGATAAAACATATTCTGTATTATCTATATCTACATCAGCTCCAATATGGCCCAGGCGCGATAAAACATATTCTGTATTATCTAGATCTACATCTAGCTCCAATATGGCCCAGGCGCGATAAAGCATATTCTGTATTATCTAGATCTAGATCTAGCTCCAATATGGCCCAGGCGCGATAAAACATATTCTGTATTATCTAGATCTACATCTAGCTCCAATATGGCCCAGGCATGATAAAACATATTCTGTATTATCTAGATCTACATCTAGCTCCAATATGGTTCAGGCGCGATAAAACATATTCTGTATTATCTAGATCTACATCTAGCTCCAATATGGCCCAGGCATGTTGCTCCAATGTGGCATATGGACTTGATAAAACATATTCTGTATTATCTAGCTTGGACTTCATTTCATCTAACAAACCTCTAACTTTAGTCATATCAGTAGACATGTCCTTGATCTGCACTGTAAACACCAGTCTTTCAAACTAACCCATCGAATTATAGTCTCAGTAAATTGTCTGTTATAATTATGGCAATGTTGTAGTTGATGGCAAATTACATAGCTAAGTTTATTTAGCTAATTTGTTTTCAATACTCTCTTTATTGTTCCTAAAGTTCCATTCAAAATCACCTCATCACCTGGAATATGATATAGAAGATGCATATGTATTTATAACCAGTTATAATGTAATTGCAAAGGAATAGCAAATCTCTTTGAACATCTTAGTGGCAAATACATCTGGAGTTTTGCAGGCATTTCAAAAAATTCACTACATTGTCATTCAATTCAGCTTTATTTCTGAATTCCGTTTCAATATTCATATATGAACATGCCATAATATGGTATATAGCTACTGTATCATAAAACTAACAGAACCACATGTAAAATTGGCAGTCATTTTTCAAAAAATGGGACTACGTCTACATGTCATTCATTATCTGAAAAACAATTTCTCATTACCTGATTTAATGAGTTTTGTAGCTTTTGGTGCACTGACAATACATGGTAGTCCATACTCTCTAGCAACTACAGCACCTAGTAAATAATAAAAACAATGATATTCTAAAATATGGTTCACATCTGTTTGATAAAATACACTTTAAACATGGATATGCAGAATCAGCTCAAGCAGAGCTGTTCAGGGCTGTTCAAGGTGTTTGACTCCTCTACAAAACATTAAACTTAGGACTATAATTTGGGTGCTGGGTAAGTTTTACGGGGATATGTGAAGCACTCAACCATCTCATAAATCAAGATATTCTATAGGTAATAGGGCCTACATGGAACATTTACTATAATGAGAATGAAGGCAAGAAACCTCCCACCTGGCCAAAAATTCTTTCAGAATCATGCAATTTTTCAACATTTTGAGCACTTTTAAGTGATTTTAGGCCATAGTTGTCAAAAGTGACCCCCCTGGAATCTTTCAAAAAGTGAACTTGGCAAATCCTGGCTACAGGCTAGGACACTGCACTAGAAATGGGCAACTGACATACCATGGGATACGAGTCCTCCTATTTCTGTGACAAGTCCTGCGATGAGGGGGAAATATGGAGTCCACCCAACGTCTGTGAAATGTACAATCAGAATGTCTCCTTGCTGGAAAGAAAAATTTTGAATTGGAGTTGAATGAATACTGAAATCATATGACGAGAGGGAAGTATATACTATATATGAATGTCATGTTGTGAAATAAGATGATATTGACTGAAATATAATGACCGTGATGTAGTGCTTGCAGCTTGCATGTCATTAAATGCAGGGAATCAAAGGCATTGATAAGGAGTTTGATATTGGCACCATAAAGTTACAATCATTTAATTTACTTTGCAGGGCCGTCAGATGGGGGGTGCGATGGGTGCGACCGCACCCCCCCCCCCTTTGTCAGCCCCCAAAATAAATTTGAAAAAAAAAGTTGAAAAAAATATTTTTTTGAAAACTTTTTTTTTGTAATTTTTTTTCATTGACTCATACACTTTGAAAGTACCCAGAAAGCACCAAATAGCATCTTAAAATTGTACAATTTTCTAGGGGTATTGGCCACCCCTCACACCCCCCACAAAACAATAGAAAAGTTCTAAATTTATTTTAGTGTTTTGTCTCAGACACTTTTAAAGTGCCCAGACATCATCAAATAGCTCCTTGATATAATTAGTGTTTCTGGGGGACTTGCTCCCCCTCATGCATCTTGCACTTGCATAGACCCCCCCCCCCCTCTGGCGCCCCCCCCCCCCCCTTGACCCCCCCCAAAAAAAAAATTGTGATTTTCTCAAATTCTTTAATTGACTCATACACTTTGAAAGTGCCCAGAAAGCACCAAATAGCGTTGTAAAATTGTAAAATTTTCTAGGGGCCACCCCTCACACCCCAAACAAAACAATGGAAAAGTTCTGAATTTGTTTTATGTACTGTCTCAGACACTTTTAAATTGCCCAGACATCATCATCATCCTTGATAAAGTTAATGATTCTGGAAGACTAACACTTACTCGCCCTCTGGCATCCCCACTCCACCTCCCCCTCTGGCAGCCCCCCTCCTTAACACCCCCCCCCCCCCAAAAAAAAACAAAAAAAAAATTTCATAATTTTTTTTATTGACTTTATTGACTAAAGTGCCCAGAAAGCACCAAATAGCATCTTGAAATTGTAAAATTTTCTTGGGAAATAGGCACTTTTAGGCACAGACACTTTTAAAGTGCCCAAACTTCATCGAATAGCACCTTGATGGGGGACAAAAACTTGCTCCCCCTCTGGCACCCCAGCCCCACCTCCCCCTCTGGCACCCCCCCCCCCCTTCGACACCCCCAAAATTTGAAAAAAATTGTGATTGTTTTTCACTGTTTTTATTGACTAATACACTTTAAATTGTAAAATTTTCTAGGAGAGTTAGCCACCCCTCACATCCCCCACAAAACAAAAGAAAATATTCTGAATTTCATGTATTGTCTCAGACATTTTTTAAGTGCCCAGACATCATCAAATAGCACCTTGATATGGTCAATGTTTCTGGGGGACAACCCCTTGTTCCCCTACTGGCACCACATCCCACTTCACCCTCTCATCCACTTTGACACCCCCAAAAGAATTTGAAAAAAATACACATTTTTCTTATTGACTTATAACGCACAGGCGTACCAGATGGTTGCAAATTCGCTCCAAATACAACCAAATTTCAAAATTTTCCTGGGGGAGACCCCCCTGAATGCTCGGTTTTTTATTCACTCAACTCTTATTCCCATGGTGGTGGCATACTACTTGGAAACTTACACTTTGAAAGTGCCCAGAAAGCACCAAATAGCATCTCAAAACTGTAAAATTTTCTAGGGGGAGTGGACCACTCCTCACACCCCCCACAAAACAATTGGAACTTTTGGAAGTTGCATTTGTTAATTCCAAACCAATATAGGGAGTAACTGAGCATCCCCCCCCCTCTGACTTACGCGATTTGATTTACGCGGCAAAAAAATTGACAATTTTATATTCTCTTTAGTAAGCTAAAAACCGCACCCCCCTTGGAGAAAAGTGTCTTACGGGCCTGCTTTGTGATAGAATATAAATGAAGTCACCGAATGTGCATAAATCATCTAATTTCTAGCAGTCAGTCTAAAATCATCAAGCATAGCTTACCAAAAACCTAGCCCATAATGCCTCCTTCGAGTAAAGTATGAAATTGATTCGCAAAATATGGAAGTACATTTCACTATTTATTATATTTATTTGTAAACCCACATCTAAAACTGCAAACATGTAAATTACATATATCAATTTCATAATTACATGTAGTTTATTAGCACTATTTGACTGCTTATGTGATGCCCTTTGCAGACTCCTTTTCATTATATTTAACAAAAACAAAGTTTGGTACATGTATAATGGATGAAATAGAATAGATTGTTTTTTCAAATTGTCACACTGTCTGATATGGAATGCAATACAGGATTTTTTGTGATACAACATTTAAAAAGAGAATTTTGAAATGTCGATTCTATCCCGATGTAAGGTATAATCAATGAAATATGCAAATTCATACCTGAATTTCATTAGCCTCTTGTAATGATGTGACAACCCTGGCTGTTCCTTTCACCTCCCCCTGGCTGACAGGCATACCTTTTATCTCTGTCAATGTCTTGTAGTCCTCCTCAGAGACTGTTTCCTCTACCTGGATATAAAATGTTAATAAGGTCATCCTTTAAACAAACAGTCCAGTGGAAAACAGTAGCAAAGAAAAAAACAGACTTCACATACATATCAGACACAGTATTTCCATTTAACAGCTGTCAAAAGATTTCATAGTCTACCTACAAGCCCTTGTGACCCCCTCATTACACATACTCCTCAAGTGGTGAAGTAGATAAGGGGAGGGGGAGAGCACAAACCTGAAGCAAGACCCTGCCCGTATCACCCGAACCCCCCCCCCCCCTGGCCAAATAATCTTTCTAAATCATGCAGTTTTTCACCTCTCTGAGCACTTTTTAAGTGATTTGGTCATTTTTGGACCAAAATTGTCACAAGTGAACCCCCCTGTTTTTTTTTCAAAAAGTGAACCCCCCTTGTCAAATCCTGGCTACGGGCCTGAAGACTATACATTTAACAACATTTCTGTTTAGCAGAAAGCTAGATTTTGTCATGCCTGCCTCCCCACACACCCAGACACACAAGATGACAACAATATGGGACTTTGAAAAAGTGACATAATAAAAATGTCCATTACCAACCTGCACAGATGAACATATTACATTCTATGAGGGCATAAACTTACTGGAATTGGATGACCCATATTGAGATGGGAGAAATGTAGTGACATCTGTTGTGGTAAGATACGTCGTCTTTTAGCAGCCCTAAAACCAACAAATACTTGTTACTGCACATAAAAGGAAGTACTCCAAACAACTTTTCTTGCATCATGTTGTATGCCTTTATGCATATATGTAAGGATTCACCAGTTTCCACATTGAAGAACAAACTGGTTTCAAAATTATGCTTGCAAGTTCCAAATAATGATTCGTGAAAGCTCCACAAACCTGTGCAATTCTGCAACTCACTGCGGTACCGCTATTTCTAATTCAAGAAAGGACCACAAAGTTAGCATCACCGCAGATACATGTATCTTGTGGTACTGCGAGAATTACACCAATATTGTGCGGTACCTCTATACATGTACTTACCACAAGTCACTCGCTGAATTCAGAGTAATAAATCATCTTAAGAACCCATTTAACATTACATTTCAGCAATAGAAATATGTACATGTGTATTTATTGTATCGTCCTTTCATCCAGTTAAGTTTCCCAATGAAAAAAAATTGGAATGTGAAATAGACGTTCAATTATGGATGTAAAAGCAACAAGTTCGGGAATTTTTTTTAAGGTTTTTAAGGTTGCAGAACACCGCAACTTTAATTATGGTCAATTTGGATATCAGTAATAAGTACCTCCTGGAAGCAATTTGGAGAAGCGTGAGACATAAACGAATTTTTAGAGATTTTTAGAAGCAAAATCCACTCGGGATTTTTGACGAACACGAAATACTACTAAGATATGGATTCTTTTGTCCAATGTATATTATAACGCATATTGCTAGAATCCTCAAGAATGATCCGTAGTATCAAACAAAAAAATTGTTAGCACTTCCCCACTATTCAGATAACTTGGTTGGGTAATAAGGAACACTAAAAGTCAAACTGACATTTGTGACTGGTGTCCTAATTGGTGATACGGTCGTCAAGGACACGGATTGCAGATATGGGGATTACATGCTGAAACTCGACGGATTTGCAGATAGCTTGGTGAATACCACGCAACGCAATAAAATGCGGACACATAATGGGTCCGCAAATACCCTACAGACACGCAAGCTTGCGGAGCTTTCATGAATTAGGTCTCAGATTCCAATATAGTGACAGATTCTACCTACTTTGCAACTAATCTGCCAGATCTGCTCTCCAGCAGAACTTTCAGTTCTTGATGAGTGAAGAAAAACAACAAGTCTTCATCTGGGAGCCTTCCCTAATGTGTTAAACATAAAATACATTAGTACAACCCTCTGACGATTACAGATCATTTACAATTTTGATACAAAGATCTTAATAATCTTAAATGTATTTTTATGCAATTTTACCATCAGAAATCTGAAATAAAACAAATGTTATGTAAAACATCATGAACCAAGATTAGTTCATACTTTTATTCAAGTTTTATATAATTAGTTACCATGGTAACTGTGATCATTTACCTCAGTCACCATGAGCTTAGCTAGTTTCCAATATGCTTTCTTGAATATGTCCACCATCTCAATAGAAACAGATTTACCCCATTCTCTGTCTCCCACTGCCCTACGTGCTCTTGGTACGATAAATTTTAATACCATTCTACAAATATATCAATAATATGTAATAAGTACAATGTATCCCCTCACTTCTCAGATATTTAAAGAAATTTTTTCAAGGTTATTTATTTCATATGAATCACATTTTACAAGTTAAGAACAGTTAAAACATATAATATTGCAAACAATATGAATGAAGCAAAGGTCATCAGACATTTTTGGCTTGGTATACAACAAACATTAAAAAAAGAATTTAAGTTACTCTCTATAATGGTGGAAGATTGATAATGTGAATGAGATGAAATGTAGAATGATGAACAGAATAAAGTAGTTAAAAAATCCTAAATTACATGTATCTTATTGATAAAATTTACAATATACAATGTACAAACCTTGCATTTTTAGAGATAGGTGTTTTCAATTGTGATATTGCATCTTCAATAGATGTCTCCACCTTAGCTGCCTTATTATTTCTGGGCCCACGCACTATATTCTAAAATAAATAAAGCAATGTACATTACTTTACATTTATCATCAGTGGGCATGTACAATTAGCCACTCAAAGATCTAATGAGGGCAATTCTCTAAAACTTCTTGGGCGTCTGGTATGGAGTTTATAAAATGAAGCCATTTAAATATTTCATTTCATTTGAGTTTCAATATGGTACCATATGTGGTAGGGTAATGTAACTTGATCTGAAGGTAGAAACAGATCACCGTTGTATTAATCTCTCAGGACCTGGTATCTATATCCTGGCTAGGACCATAGACAGTTCCAGTCATTGCCAGCCTTTCGTTCAATCAGCAGCACTCTAGTAATCACCTCTCTAGTGTACCAGTTAACAGAAACTAGCTCCTTTTACCACATGCTGGGATTGAACCCAGCACCTTGGCATTAAGAGTCTAGCGTGCTAACCTTTAGGCCACAGAGGGTTTTCTGTGTTTTTCTGTAATTTTTGCATAACATCAAACAAAGAACTAAAGTCTTCTGGCCCAATGAGTATTATTATCAGTAATATTTTTTGGCACAACTTTAAGCATGGCTCATAGTTAACATGTGATGTGAACATGACATTCTCAATATGCAGCATATTTTTTATACATGTATACAGTACATGTTAGTTGAGGGTTTGAAAGTGTTGTCCTTACCTGCAGCACAGCTGTTACTTTCCAAGGCTCACTTCTCCAGGATTTTTCCCGAAATTCTGCCTAAAAAAGAAAAATGATTCATATATTACCATGGACCCATATAAAGTGAAAGTATGTGATAACCTACTACATTTATACATCTATATTACATAGTTTTTGAAATCAAAATGTTTTTGAAATCAAAATGTCCATATACACACCTGTAAGATGTTAAATAAATTCAGACCTAATGAAAAATCAGTTATCTACTCAGAGTTAAAGCTCTACACCAAATGCAATTTTATAGTTGAACACTAACCTCTCTAATACACCGATGACCGTGCATGTTCAAAAATTGTGTAAACCTTTCACCCGCATCTCCACTCTCAGATGATTTCAACCAATTAGCTGCCTCCTAAAATTCATAAAAAGAGTAAAATATTCAAGTCTTATTATGGATTAGCTACCATATGCAGAAGAAATGTTTTGTATGTCATAGAACTAGTAAATATGATAGGCCATGGATTTTCAAACTCCAAAGGTCTTGACTCAGGGTCTGGTTCTTAATATACCTGTTTTTATAAATCTGTTATTTGTTTCTTTAATATGACCTTCTTTTACGTAAATATCAAACCTTGATAAATTGCTTATTCCAGATAATTACCGCAAATTCATTCCTTTTCAAAAACCAAACCTATATGTTAGGGGCTGCTACAATTTTAACATTTGTGGAGTTATTTAGAGGTAGAGCCACTTTAAATGTGTAACTTGTTTCTGACTATGATGATCAACATGAGATAACCTTCCACACTACACATCATAAGAATTAAACAAATCAGCACTCACCTCTGGAGTGAGTTTTGTGAAATGATCAGCTTGCCCAGTTTTGAAGATGACATCTACCAGCTCCTGAAACAATAAAATCATTCTCACTTACTGATTTGTGTTGATTATGCATTGTGAAGGAGGTTCAGTGCCAAACTGATATTGAATAACATAATAGTCAATTGTATTCTATGTATATTTTTTACTTTCCCTGAAAACCATACCAAATATCAAAAGAATACACATCATCATAAACACAAAATATTTTCCCATTTATGAAACAATAGAGTATGAGAGAATTTTTCACCTGTAAAGCAAAGGGAAATGGTAAAATATGAGAAAATGTTTCACCTGTAGAGCAAAGGGAAATGGTAAAGTATGAGAGAATGTTTCACCTGAAGAGCAAAAGGAAATGGTAAAGTATGAGAGAATGTTTCACCTGAAGAGCAAAAGGAAATGGTAAAGTATGAGAGAATGTTTCACCTGAAGAGCAAAAGGAAATGGTAAAGTATGAGAGAATGTTTCACATGAAGAGCAAAAGAAAATGGTAAAGTATGAGAGAATGTTTCAACTGAAGAGCAAAAGGAAATGGAAAAGTATGAGAGAATGTTTCACCTGTAGATCAAAAGGAAATGCTAAAGTATGAGAGAATGTTTCACCTGAAGAGCAGAGGGAAATGCTAAAGTATGAGAGAATGTTTCACCCGAGGAGCAAAAGGAAATGGTAAAGTATGAGAGAATGTTTCACCTGTAGATCAAAAGGAAATGCTTAAGTATGAGAGAATGTTTCACCTGAAGAGCAGAGGGAAATGCTAAAGTATGAGAGAATGTTTCACCTGAGGAGCAAAAGGAAATGGTAAAGTATGAGAGAATGTTTCACCTGAGGAGCAAAAGGAAATGGTAAAGTATGAGAGAATGTTTCACCTGAAGAGCAGAGGGAAATGGTAAAGTATGAGAGAATGTTTCACCTGAGGAGCAAAAGGAAATGGTAAAGTATGAGAGAATGTTTCACCTGAGGAGCAAAAGGAAATGGTAAAGTATGAGAGAATGTTTCACCTGAAGAGCAAAAGGAAATGGTAAAGTATGAGAGAATGTTTCACCTGAAGAGCAGAGGGAAGTGCTAAAGTATGAGAGAATGTTTCACCTGAGGAGCAAAAGGAAATGGAAAAGTATGAGAGAATGTTTCACCTGAAGAGCAAAAGGAAATGGTAAAGTATGAGAGAATGTTTCACCTGAGGAGCAAAAGGAAATGGTAAAGTATGAGAGAATGTTTCACCTGAGGAGCAAAAGGAAATGGTAAAGTATGAGAGAATGTTTCACCTGAAGAGCAGAGGGAAATGGTAAAGTATGAGAGAATGTTTCACCTGAGGAGCAAAAGGAAATGGTAAAGTATGAGAGAATGTTTCACCTGAAGGGCAAAAGGAAATGGTAAAGTATGAGAGAATGTTTCCCCTGAGGAGCAAAAGGAAATGGTAAAGTATGAGAGAATGTTTCACCTGAAGAGCAGGGGCAAGGGTAAATATGAGAGAATGTTTCACCTGAGGAGCAAAGGGAAATGGTAAAGTATGAGAGAATGTTTCACCTGAAGAGCAAAAGAAAATGGTAAAGTATGAGAGAATGTTTCACCTGAAGAGCAAAAGAAAATGGTAAAGTATGAGAGAATGTTTCACCTGAAGAGCAAAAGGAAATGGTAAAGTATGAGAGAATGTTTCACCTGAAGAGCAAAAGGAAATGGTAAAGTATGAGAGAATGTTTCACCTGAGGAGCATTGGGAAATTCTTAAGTATGAGAGAATGTTTCACCTGAAGAGCAAAGGGCAAGGGTAAAGTATGAGAATGTTTCACCTGAAGAGCATTGGGAAATTCTTAAGTATGAGAGAATGTTTCACCTGGAGAGCAAAGGGCAAGGGTAAAGTATGAGAGAATGTTTCACCTGTAGAGCAGAGGGAACATCAGCACTGTAGACATTTGTGCAGTCTGCTAGGAGTAGAGCAACATCTGAGTAGTGTTCACTTGTCCAATCTGTAATAGAATAAAGAAATACGAATGACAATATTTGGACCCATGATTTTTCAGGAGTCAATAGATAGGCATGGGTGTAATCAGGAGGGGGGGGGGGGTGCGATCACAATGTAAATTTTTAATAAATTCTAAAAAAATTCCACTGTACTTCCCTTTTTGGGGCTCGCTTCACTCGCAGTGAAGAAAACCAAAACAATCGCACCCCCTTGACATTTGCTGGCTTCGCCCCTGCATGGCTTAGATAGTTATGGAAATCAACATAATGAACTTCATAGTAATTTGCACTGTCATGCAAAATATAAGTGTGTTACACCATTAGTACAGTAAGTATACATGCTATTTCCAATCTAGTAATCTATTTTTGACTATGTCCATTATTTACTTCTACCTGAAGTGTGACCTCCAACATATATTTAAGGATACTAGTAATATCAAATGGCCAACAGTTTCTGAGTTTACTAAGACAACAATAGTTCCAACTTGTATATATCCAGAAAATCAGTAAACTGACATCATTTGATTTTTGATCTGTCATATGTCATTCAGATAATCATACAACATTACCATTGTTGAGTCATGCCAGAATCATAATAGAACAATAAAATGTTGCTGAAATGACCCATCGGACAAACAGTCACATAGTTGCTGGAACCCTTTAATAGATATGTTATAGTTTAATATTTCGGGTACACAACAGGCTGTGTGTCACAGGTATAAGGTTAATTATTCACCAACTAATGAATATTCAGCTATTAAAATTTTAAAATTACCATTCAAGTGACTGTGAGTATAGTACAGTAATAGTCAGTGTAAATAAGATTTTAAAAGTACATTCATCATAGAAGTTGGCTCAGATAAGTTACACCAGATAAAGTTCCCAATAAAAGTTTCCTCAGATAAGGTTCCCCATATAAGGTTCCCCATGTAAGTAACCTCAGATAAGCCACCCCATAAAAGTTACCTCAGATAAGGTTCATCAGATAAGGTTCCCCATAAAAAGTAACATCAGATAAGGTTATCCATAAACCAGAATAACGGCAACGCCAAAGCGTAGCGAATCCCATTGAACAGCCATGGCTGGCATTTTTACAAACAAAGTATATAACAAAAAATGGCAGCCATTTTTCAAAATGGCCACCTTCTACCAAAAGTGTCATTAGACAGTGTGCCATGCTTATAGTATTCACATACCAAATATGAACAAAATCGCTCCACTACTTTTCGAGTTACAGCAAAAATCGTAAAATAACGAGTAAAGGCAGCCATTTTTCAAGATGGCTGACATGTGCTTCTTCAATATCTACATTTCTAGCTTTATTAATGTCCTACATAATTTTTATACATTTAAAACATATTGCTATTACAGTTTTACATATTGCACCTCAATTACTGTAAAATCGGCACTAAAATGGCTGCCATTTTTAAATGAGCGGCCATTTTGAAAATCGGCTTTTGAGCAGAACTTCTACCCCCATAGGGTATATGTGTACAAAATATGAACAAAATCGGGCTAACGGTATTTGAGTTATTGCCCGGACAGACGGATGGACGGACGGACGGACAGACGGAGGCGTTCCCTATATCCCTCCGAACTTTGTTCGATTGGATAAAAATTAGCTTAGATAGGGTTCCCCATATAAGTTACCCCAGATAAGGTTCATTAGATAAGGTTTACTTACCTCAGATAAAAATGTTCACTAGATAAGGTTCCCTACATATACATACGTTTCCTCAATTCAACAGATAAGCTTCTCCATAAAAGTTACCTCAGATAAGGTACCCCAGATTTAATGCACAATCTTAAATATATATGGAGGACTGGCAGGTCTCATAGTTTTATAACATTAACTTCTCTAGCTTACTCCTATAATACTAACACATTGTTGTACTTCAAATCACATTTGAAAGAAAGAAATCTTGTGGAAACATTTAGCCAAGCATCCTTTAGTTGAAACTACATAGATGTGTGAGAAGTTATAGAGTGAATCCTTTAATTAAGCATGTAACTGCCTTTCCCAATACATTATTTATTTGTATGACCAAACTGCTAGAAACAAGAATAAAAACCGCATGCAACCAAATGCTATTAGTACAGTGTGTATATAATAATATTAGTAGTCAATCCCCCATGCAATTCAACAAAAATGACAAAACAACATCCTACCACATCCTCCCTTAGCCAAGATCACCAGCATCATGTAGCCCCATTGTAGAGACCTTCCAGAGTTGAACGACACTTCATTGACACACTGCAGAAGCAGAATCATGCAAGAGTTCACTGCATTTCTATCAAATAGGACTATACAACATAACAGGACTTCCTCTGAACTTCAATGAATGTTAATAAAAAATATCTGCAACTTTTTTTATTTTCCATTTTGTTGCTTTTCTCATGCTGTTAAATTGTGAACTTTTGTGAAAGCTTTAACATAGGTTAGTACCTGCTGGCTTGCCTTTAATTTTCAGATCATACCTGCTTAAAGCTGCTTAAATATGTTGCTGTAGCATTGATTTGTAACTATGACGATCCAAATTTAGTAACTATGGTTACATACCTGCTAAAACATACTGTTACAGGATAGAAGCAATGATTCCATCATATATTAATTTCTACACATGTTTTCAAAGGAATAACAATGAATTTATCATTATGTTCTAATGATTTGCTATAGAAAAATCTCTCCACTCAAGTTACCTAGTGATATTGTAACCATGGCAATAAACTATGACCTAATATGTTAGTTACTATGGTAATCTAAGTCTACCCGCATTACTTAGTGATAATAGTATAGCAACCATAAATTGTAAGCTATATTAGTAATGATGGTTACATACCTGCACCACCTCCTGATATTGTTGCTATTAATGCCACTGACCACACGCCTGAGCGACTAGTGTTAAGGATTGTGTCCACCCACATCTACAATTTATTGTTTGTCTTAGAGTCTGACCAAATCTTTACCATATTCCTTGCCCCCTCTTTTTCACTCTAATTGATATTTCAAAATATAACCAGGATGATAATTTTCTAATAAATGGACATGCATTAAGGTGTAACATGATTCAGAAGCCAGCAAAGATATGTGTGTCAGCCCCTGGGTGGGAACTAGAGGTGTCAAGTATTAACCGGTTAACCGGTTAACCGCCGATAATGCCTTGACCGGTCTGTGTTTTTATGGGCGGTTAGTTGACCGTGTATAATTCTGTGATTTCCCGCGCTTATTTTGCATGCTAATCCGTTTGGTTTTATGGTGTCAGTTTCACGTAAGCTACTCATACATGTCATAAGTCCTATAACTCCTTACAAACATCCAATCAGCAACTTTAATCCCTGCCATATTGCTTTCCCACGCTTACTTTGCATTTTAATCTGTTTGTTTTTCAAGCGTCAGTTTTATTTGAGCTACTCATACATGTGATAGGTCCGATAATTCCTTACAAACATCCAATCAGCAACTTTAATCCCTGCCACATTGCTTTCCCGCGCTTACTTACATAGAATAGAGTAAAGCTTGACGAACGTAAAAAATAAACGCCGCTATATCATTTTTTCCAATTTGTTTCAACTTTCAAAATCGAAAATGAAGATTTCATTTGAAATTATCAGTTCAAATTTCCCGCCGGTTAACCGACTTTAACCGGTAAAAACCCCCGGTTAACCGGTTAATGCTCAAGCGGTTAATTGACACCACTAGTGGGAACCCCTTTAGTACATCTAAATTGGATTGAAACATCAATAAAAGCTACTTTGCTCTTGGCAACTCAATCCAATTACATCCAAAGCTCAAGCAATCAAGATGTAGTTGAATGATTCAGAGCTGAATGAAAAAGAGAGGCAAGGAATAAAGAGCAAATGACAAGTACAATATATGGAACAGAAATCTTCAACCATTATATATAGAAGCCATGATACTGATATACTGTTCCTCATTTTGTATCTGCAAAACACCTTTTCAGTGAGCTAGTACTGTTAGATGTATTAAAGTGAGATAGAAGCACCTCAATATTATATTCGCTGTCTGCAATACCCCTATTAGAAAACAAATTTTACAAATTATAAGAAGAAGAAATAATAAGCCACTCATTACATTTTAATCTTTTTCTTAAAGCACTGCAAGCATGCATCAAAGCATCAATCAGCTATAAACATATCAATTTCACATTATCAAATATGCATAATTAAAGATATGTACATTTCATTTCCAAAGTTTATTAAATATTATCATTTTTAATAAGTTTATTTATTAAAAGCAATTTCAAATATTTGTATCATATATGTACTTTAAAAAATACCCAATAGACAGCCTAATTAGAAAAGCCACAGGGTGAACAAAATCGCACCCTTGAACAGAATACACTTTTCGGGATGGAAAATTCAAAATGGCCACCTTAACATTTACCCAGACTGCCTAAAAACTAATCAGTTCTAAACTTTCCATAGAAACATCTCTAAAATTTTAGGATGAATCCATAAAACCTGTAAACAACCCTCAAGAGACACGTTTTAAGGTATTACTTCACAGTGTATCAGCTTTTTTCTACAATTCAGATTTTCCTGAAAAAAATCCTGGTAAAAGATATACTGATGTATTACAAAATATGTGAAAATTTGAAAGATTGACCGTTTAGTTATTTCTAAAAAAATGTTTTAATTTAACATTGCTCTCAATGGGAAATTCGTTTTTATTTTTTAAAACAAGCCTTCACAGACACGATTTTAGGACGAAAAATCCAAAATGGCCGCCTTAACATTTACCAAGAATGCCGAAAAACTTGAAAATAAGAAAACATGACAGATAGCCAAACGATGTATACTGCACAAAAACAGCTTCTTTTCCAGAAAGTATAAATACATTGCAGGGTTCTCACCAGGAAATTTTTAGACCCCGGATTTTTAGCGGTATTGTGACTACTTTATTGCGGTATCGCGACTACTTCTCCCCTATGTTAGATCAGAGATATCCTATAAGTACAGTTTTCAACATACTTCTTAAGATTATCTTGCTATTTTAATCCCAATATTTATTTCTAAAAGGTTTCTGACTTCCTATTCCTTGTTTGTATCCAGTTTTATGTATTTTCTCAAGAGTAGACTCTGGAGCAAGAGGGTTTAAGACATTAGACTCCAGAGAATCTCCGAAGTCTAAAAGCCTAGTGAGAACCCTGCATTGTTAACTAACGAAGATCATTAATGATTGCTGGAATACGATGCTTTTCCCTGGCTATGTTTTTAGAGATTTCTAAGAGGGGTATCACTGCACCAACATACATGTGCCTCCCTGTCTGACAGGCCTGTTTATCAAACATATATAGTTAAATATTTCAAAAATGCGATTCCAAAACATATTAAATTTATCATTTCATTTTTTATCTTAATCATCATTTTATCTTGATTCGATGATTTCCCTTCTGTACAATCATGATCCCCTATTTACTTACATCATAATAGTCCATCATTTTACTATCAATATCATTGTAGACAGATATAGCTGTATCACAGTTCTGACCAACTGTGAACTCTTGACTTCTGATTCGTCTTTCCCATTCTTTAGTCCTACCATATGACCTGTTCTGACTCTGAAAGAATAGAAGGGAACTATTGTAATGAATGTACAAACTAAAGTAAAGAGAAGTCCTCGGAGTAATATACCACTAAAATTCACTGACTCCATATGCACATATACATTTATATATGATTTTATTCACTTTTTCATATTTTTCAGTCAATAATTCATGTTTCAACTTTTGATACTCAAAATTCGTTGAAAGAATTCATCCATTTTTGACTAATTCTAACTTTGGCAACCCTGGTATAGAAATATAACTACACTTTTTGCATGATTATATTTGACCTAATAATTTTTCAACTGAAAATAATATTTTATAGCTTACATAAGTAGACATGATTTTGTGCCATAATTTTAAAGGCAATGAACATTCTCCATGAATACTTCTTAATTGCTCTATTGTGACGCTCGTGTTGACATAACCTAGAAGTGCCAGGTCCACCATCCTCTTGTCACTGCCCAATACATACAGTTCAGAGGTCCCATACAGGTTCTGCAAGGAGAAAGAACACCATTCATACATCAATCTCTCACAAATTGACAAACTTCTTGGTATTTGTCCACTAGATTCCCCTCTTGTAATTTCAAACTTAAGATTTCCATCCAATTAAGCCCTTATTAACTATGTATACTACTTGTTAATGTATGGGACAGAGGTTGTATGGGATGTTATAGCAACAAAGTGAGCATCTTAAAATGGTGAAAGTATCAATACTGGTTACAATCAAAAACAAGAAAAGGGCAATTTCATGGAATAGCAACTCGTAATTAGCGATACATACTGTAGGTGACCATTTTGGAATTTCAAAAGCACATATAAAATGAAATGATACAAACTTAACCCTTTCACGACGATAGGCTCCATATGGAGCCCTATTATGTAATACCTTTCAGGACGATAGGCTCCTTTTGGCACCATTATTTTTATCTATCAATGAAATGACAATATCTCAAGTTCTATTCAGTATTTTTACACCAAATTTTGACAAGTTGTTCTAATGTGATAATCCTTACTAAAAATTGTATTTCAGTGATAAAATTCAGGGTATAGGTCCCGGGGCGTAGGTATTTAGCAGTTTTCCCCTAAAAACTGCTCTTACTTATCCGTCACCAGAGCCAACATTTTCCTCTTATATTCACGTCGGGAAAGGGTTAACTTGGTACCATTGCTTTGAATATAACAAAGCAATGCTTAGAAGAGAAATACTTCAGACAGATCCCAATTTTTTGATGCCCTACAATGGCCCCCTGGGGGTCAGGCCAAAAAACTTATATATGCTTAATAGATCATTACTGAAAAACTGCCTATTGGTGGCAACTCAAAAAAAAACTACTAAAAATCTGTACACTAGTATTTAAGTTACCCTCCTGATGGACAGAGAGACAAAATGACAGATAAATGAATAGCTTCACTCTATCTCTATCAAACTTTGTTCAAAAAGTCCTTTAAAAAGCACCAAGACATTTTGAAGAGCATACTCAATGTAAGTTTATGAATGCATTGTTGCATGCAAGTGCTACTGCCTTATACTCACATGTAGGTTTATGAATGCATTGTCGCATGCAAGTGCTACTGCCTTATACTCACATGTAGGTTTGTGAATGCATTGTTGCATGCAAGTGCTACTGCCTTGTACTCACATGTAGGTTTATGAATGCATTGTTGCATGCAAGTGCTACTGCCTTATACTCACATGTAGGTTTATGAATGCATTGTTGCATGCAAGTGCTACTGCCTTGTACTCACATGTAGGTTTATGAATGCATTGTTGCATGCAAGTGCTACTGCCTTATACTCACATGTAGGTTTATGAATGCATTGTCGCATGCAAGTGCTACTGCCTTATACTCACATGTAGGTTTATGAATGCATTGTCGCATGCAAGTGCTACTGCCTTATACTCACATGTAGGTTTATGAATGCATTGTCGCATGCAAGTGCTACTGCCTTATACTCACATGTAGGTTTATGAATGCATTGTTGCATGCAAGTGCTACTGCCTTATACTCACATGTAGGTTTATGAATGCATTGTTCCATGTAAGTGCTACTGCCTTGTACTCACATGTAGGTTTATGAATGCATTGTTGCATGCAAGTGCTACTGCCTTATACTCACATGTAGGTTTATGAATGCATTGTTGCATGCAAGTGCTACTGCCTTATACTCACATGTAGGTTTATGAATGCATTGTTGCATGCAAGTGCTACTGCCTTATACTCACATGTAGGTTTATGAATACATTGTTGCATGCAAGTGCTACTGCCTTATAGTCACATGTAGGTTTGTGAATGCATTGTTGCATGTAAGTGCTACTGCCTTATACTCACATGTAGGTTTATGAATGCATTGTTGCATGCAAGTGCTACTGCCTTATACTCACATGTAGGTTTATGAATGCATTGTCGCATGCAAGTGCTACTGCCTTATACTCACATGTAGGTTAATGAATGCATTGTTGCATGCAAGTGCTACTGCCTTATACTCACATGTAGGTTTATGAATGCATTGTTGCATGCAAGTGCTACTGCCTTATACTCACATGTAGGTTTATGAATGCATTGTCACATGCAAGTGCTACTGCCTTATACTCACATGTAGGTTTGTGAATGCATTGTTGCATGCAAGTGCTACTGCCTTATACTCACGTGTAGGTTTGTGAATGCATTGTTGCCTGCAAGTGCTACTGCCTTATACTCACATGTAGGTTTATGAATGCATTGTTGCATGCAAGTGCTACTGCCTTATAGTCACATGTAGGTTTATGAATGCATTGTTGCATGCAAGTGCTACTGCCTTATACTCACATGTAGGTTTATGAATGCATTGTTCCATGTAAGTGCTACTGCCTTGTACTCACATGTAGGTTTATGAATGCATTGTTGCATGCAAGTGCTACTGCCTTATACTCACATGTAGGTTTATGAATGCATTGTTGCATGCAAGTGCTACTGCCTTATACTCACATGTAGGTTTATGAATGCATTGTTGCATGCAAGTGCTACTGCCTTATAGTCACATGTAGGTTTATGAATGCATTGTTGCCTGCAAGTGCTACTGCCTTATACTCACATGTAGGTTTATGAATGCATTATTGCATGCAAGTGCTACTGCCTTATACTCACATGTAGGTTTATGAATGCATTGTCGCATGCAAGTGCTACTGCCTTATACTCACATGTAGGTTTATGAATGCATTGTTGCATGCAAGTGCTACTGCCTTATACTCACATGTAGGTTTATGAATGCATTGTTGCATGCAAGTGCTACTGCCTTATACTCACATGTAGGTTTATAAATGCATTGTTGCCTGTAAGTGCTACTGCCTTATAGTCACATGTAGGTTTATGAATGCATTGTTGCATGCAAGTGCTACTGCCTTATACTCACGTGTAGGTTTATGAATGCATTGTTGCATGCAAGTGCTACTGCCTTATAGTCACATGTAGGTTTATGAATGCATTGTTGCATGCAAGTGCTACTGCCTTATAGTCACATGTAGGTTTATGAATGCATTGTTGCATGCAAGTGCTACTGCCTTATAGTCACATGTAGGTTTATGAATGCATTGTTGCATGCAAGTGCTACTGCCTTATACTTACATGTAGGTTTATAAATGCATTGTTGCATGTAAGTGCTACTGCCTTATACTCACATGTAGGTTTATGAATGCATTGTTGCCTGCAAGTGCTACTGCCTTATACTTACATGTAGGTTTATGAATGCAGTGTTGCATGCAAGTGCTACTGCCTTATACTCACGTGTAGGTTTATGAATGCATTGTTGCATGCAAGTGCTACTGCCTTATACTCACGTGTAGGTTTATGAATGCATTGTTGCATGCAAGTGCTACTGCCTTATACTCACGTGTAGGTTTATGAATGCATTGTTGCATGCAAGTGCTACTGCCTTATAGTCACATGTAGGTTTATGAATGCATTGTTGCATGCAAGTGCTACTGCCTTATACTCACATGTAGGTTTATGAATGCATTGTCGCATGCAAGTGCTACTGCCTTATAGTCACATGTAGGTTTGTGAATGCATTGTTGCATGCAAGTGCTACTGCCTTATACTCACGTGTAGGTTTATGAATGCATTGTTGCATGCAAGTGCTACTGCCTTATAGTCACATGTAGGTTTATGAATGCATTGTTGCATGCAAGTGCTACTGCCTTATACTTACATGTAGGTTTATAAATGCATTGTTGCATGCAAGTGCTACTGCCTTATACTCACATGTAGGTTTATGAATGCATTGTTGCCTGCAAGTGCTACTGCCTTATACTTACATGTAGGTTTATGAATGCAGTGTTGCATGCAAGTGCTACTGCCTTATACTCACGTGTAGGTTTATGAATGCATTGTTGCATGCAAGTGCTACTGCCTTATACTCACGTGTAGGTTTATGAATGCATTGTTGCATGCAAGTGCTACTGCCTTATACTCACGTGTAGGTTTATGAATGCATTGTTGCATGCAAGTGCTACTGCCTTATAGTCACATGTAGGTTTATGAATGCATTGTTGCATGCAAGTGCTACTGCCTTATACTCACATGTAGGTTTATGAATGCATTGTCGCATGCAAGTGCTACTGCCTTATAGTCACATGTAGGTTTGTGAATGCATTGTTGCATGCAAGTGCTACTGCCTTATACTCACGTGTAGGTTTATGAATGCATTGTTGCATGCAAGTGCTACTGCCTTATACTCACGTGTAGGTTTATGAATGCATTGTTGCATGCAAGTGCTACTGCCTTATACTCACATGTAGGTTTATGAATGCATTGTCGCATGCAAGTGCTACTGCCTTATACTCACATGTAGGTTTATGAATGCATTGTTGCATGTAAGTGCTACTGCCTTATACTCACATGTAGGTTTATGAATGCATTGTTGCATGCAAGTGCTACTGCCTTATACTCACATGTAGGTTTATGAATGCATTGTTGCATGCAAGTGCTACTGCCTTGTAGAGATCACATTTATGGTCAATACAGCCTGCTTCAAGCAAAAACTCCTGCAAAGTTCAATAACAATTCTTAAACACACGACAGTAAACTTGGATATGTTTGAATGTGAGACAACTGCATTCTAGAGTTAAGCAATCCAAATCATACTTTATTATTAAAGGACTTCTGATGAAGATATCTACAGTTCTAGGCTAAACTGATCAAAACACAACAAACCTGATTATAATTTATTGAAAAGTTCCACTGTATAATTGAATTAAACAATGATATGATGCAGTATACAATTAGATTACATGTACCTGCATTGTGTTTTCAACTGCTCTGAAGAATGTGCTTATGGTGAGAGGAGTCATAGCACCAGGCATCATTTCACTGGAACAATACAACAGAAAACATTACAACTAATCAATGCTGAATCCTTGTAGTACATTCAATCTATCTTCCTATCTTCATTTATCTTCAATTCAAATGAATGAATGGACTGAGTGGACTGATTGAGGGATGAATGTATGTTTTCAGCAAAGCTATTTCAGCTTTCCTAATCTCAAATGTAATGGAACATGCTGCCATCTTCTTGTAACTACATGTATATCACCACTACACTTTGTTCTGTCGATGAATGATGAATTGGAAATATATGTCTGGAATATTCCATGATATTGAAAGATAACATTTTTCCAATGAGTTGAGATCAATATCATTCTGCATGAGCGAGTTGCACAGCTGATATGTATGTAACTATTACAGTTATGTTCAGTGGTCTGCTCTTTCTCCATCATCTACAATGTTTGGCAGACAAAATATTAATCTGTCCATGCATGAATTCAATATCAGATTCATTATTTCAATATCCTAACAGCAAAAATTGTTAAACACAAATGGTCAAACAGATGTATGATTGGATGGACGGACAGCTCCTCTACAGTAAATCCCTAAAATTTATTTGGGGGGGGGTAATAATATTTATTCCATAGTTAGCATGATATTTATAGGATAACATGTCAAAATAAAAACGGTTTTTGTAATCAGTGGTAAAATATGATATTTTTGACAAATTTTAGCATACGATGTTTAAGCCATGACATACGATGCTATGAATTATGGATTTTTGCATTAAATCACTTAATTTCCAACGATTCTGATGATGACTTTAACTATGGAAAAAAAGAACATCCTACGATTAACTTGTGATATGATTTACTCTCTCGCTACGCTCGCTTGTGCAGATATCATATCCATTTGTGGATAAAAATCATATCACTCATAAATCTTATCCTCTATTTATCCTACACTTAGTGTACTAAATGTATAATAACATTAAAAGATAAATTTGATATCTATTGGCAAAATGAATTACCTGAGGATATCACCACGATGTACATGTACTCCGCATGTTACATACATTTGTTATTCATTTAGTATGTACAAAGTGTAGGATAAGAACATCCTATGATTTTTTTCGATTTTATGAAATAACACTTTAACCTATCTATATCACTTTGTATATAAAAATAATATTCCTCATTAGGAGATCCTACAAGTACACACCCTATGTTAGCAGTGGTAACGCTCTCTGTGTCGAAGGACAACGCCGAGTCAAACTCGTGCATCAACTCTTTAGTGCTCTCTAACTGTAGTGTGGTGATAGGTCTAGCCTGGAAACAAATATTTTTATTTTCATAACTCCTATCAATACCATTTGTGGTGTGGACTACCTGTATGTTCACTGTATAATTTATTACTTTTGGTGTCTTTTGCATTTTGAAACACATGTGTATTACTATATACATGTAGGGTTCACTGGCAATGTAATTTAGTGCTATTCTGACATGGAAGAAATATAATGCTGTTTTAGAACAGTTCCAGTAACAAGGTTGGTAAGTTTTTCTTCCAAATAAAGCCACACTCTTGGCACCAGAATGACTTTGAAATACAGTGTATGGTTCTGACACTGACCAACACTGTTTCACTCAACCTACCTGTAGCAGGTAGATTTTGTTATTGGACACTGCCCACTCAATGTCACGTGGGTCTCCAAATGCTTTCTCAAGCTGAAAGAAAACAGGAAAATGTGTTAATGTATTTAATGTAGCACAACTTATCCCCAGACTATAGCTGACACAAAGAACACCATGAAGTGTGTTTGCAAGGAATATAGGCCAAAGATTCATAAGACAGATAATTGATTCTAATACCTCAATTCCAATATTGGCAAGCCGTATTATGACATCATCAGCTACTGAGCATTTATGTACTGCATCCTCTTTCACATCAACTGTCTCAGTTCCACCAGATTCTGGAATATTCAATGACACCTTATTGAGTTCCAAGTCTTTCATTACTTCTCAAGTTTTTGCTTTATTACAAAAAGTTTTATTATTTAAGAGGTATCACTCTTCACTACCACGGTAACAGATTAATCAAAATCTTCGATAACTTTCATATTCTTTCTTTGATTTGAATGCAAGAAAATTGTAACACAGTCAATCCTTTACTGCCAGCCATTCCCTTATGAATGATTCACATCGTTCTACTTGTTTTCATTACCTGTTACATTCAATCCTTACTGCCAGCCATTCCCTATTCACATTGTTCTACTTGATTTCATTACCTGTTACATTCAATCCCTACTGCCAGCCATTCCCTATTCACATCGTTCTACTTGATTTCATTACCTGTTACATTCAATCCTTACTGCCAGCCATTCCCTGTTCACATTGTTCTACTTGATTTCATTACCTGTTACATTCAATCCTTACTGCCAGCCATTCCCTGTTCACATTGTTCTACTTGTTTTCATTACCTGTTACATTCAATCCTTACTGCCAGCCATTCCCTGTTCACATTGTTCTACTTGTTTTCATTACCTGTTACATTCAATCCTTACTGCCAGCCATTCCCTGTTCACATTGTTCTACTTGTTTTCATTACCTGTTACATTCAATCCTTACTGCCAGCCATTCCCTGTTCACATTGTTCTACTTGTTTTCATTACCTGTTACATTCAATCCTTACTGCCAGCCATTCCCTGTTCACATTGTTCTACTTGTTTTCATTACCTGTTACATTCAATCCTTACTGCCAGCCATTCCCTATTCACATTGTTCAACTTGATTTCATTACCTGTTACATTCAATCCTTACTGCCAGCCATTCCCTATTCACATCGTTCTACTTGTTTTCATTACCTGTTACATTCAATCCTTACTGCCAGCCATTCCCTGTTCACATTGTTCTACTTGTTTTCATTACCTGTTACATTCAATCCTTACTGCCAGCCATTCCCTGTTCACATTGTTCTACTTGTTTTCATTACCTGTTACATTCAATCCTTACTGCCAGCCATTCCCTGTTCACATTGTTCTACTTGTTTTCATTACCTGTTACATTCAATCCTTACTGCCAGCCATTCCCTATTCACATTGTTCTACTTGATTTCATTACCTGTTACATTCAATCCTTACTGCCAGCCATTCCCTATTCACATCGTTCTACTTGTTTTCATTACCTGTTACATTCAATCCTTACTGCCAGCCATTCCCTGTTCACATTGTTCTACTTGTTTTCATTACCTGTTACATTCAATCCTTACTGCCAGCCATTCCCTATTCACATTGTTCTACTTGATTTCATTACCTGTTACATTCAATCCTTACTGCCAACCATTCCCTGTTCACATTGTTCTACTTGTTTTCATTACCTGTTACATTCAATCCTTACTGCCAGCCATTCCCTATTCACATCGTTCTACTTGTTTTCATTACCTGTTACATTCAATCCTTACTGCCAGCCATTCCCTGTTCACATTGTTCTACTTGTTTTCATTACCTGTTACATTCAATCCTTACTGCCAGCCATTCCCTATTCACATTGTTCTACTTGATTTCATTACCTGTTACATTCAATCCTTACTGCCAGCCATTCCCTATTCACATCGTTCTACTTGTTTTCATTACCTGTTACATTCAATCCTTACTGCCAGCCATTCCCTATTCACATTGTTCTACTTGATTTCATTACCTGTTACATTCAATCCTTACTGCCAGCCATTCCCTATTCACATTGTTCTACTTGATTTCATTACCTGTTACATTCAATCCACATTCAATCCTTACTGCCAGCCATTCCCTATTCACATTGTTCTACTTGTTTTCATTACCTGTTACATTCAATCCTTACTGCCAGCCATTCCCTATTCACATCGTTCTGCTTGATTTCATTACCTGTTACATTCAATCCCTACTGCCAGCCATTCCCTATTCACATTGTTCTACTTGATTTCATTACCTGTTACATTCAATCCCTACTGCCAGCCATTCCCTATTCACATTGTTCTACTTGATTTCATTACCTGTTACATTCAATCCTTACTGCCAGCCATTCCCTATTCACATTGTTCTACCTGATTTCATTACCTGTTACATTCAATCCTTACTGCCAGCCATTCCCTATTCACATTGTTCTACTTGATTTCATTACCTGTTACATTCAATCCTTACTGCCAGCCATTCCCTATTCACATTGTTCTACCTGATTTCATTACCTGTTACATTCAATCCTTACTGCCAGCCATTCCCTATTCACATTGTTCTACTTGATTTCATTACCTGTTACATTCAATCCCTACTGCCAGCCATTCCCTATTCACATTGTTCTACTTGATTTCATTACCTGTTACATTCAATCCTTACTGCCAGCCATTCCCTATTCACATTGTTCTACCTGATTTCATTACCTGTTACATTCAATCCTTACTGCCAGCCATTCCCTATTCACATTGTTCTACCTGATTTCATTACCTGTTACATTCAATCCCTACTGCCAGCCATTCCCTATTCACATCGTTCTACTTGATTTCATTACCTGTTACATTCAATCCTTACTGCCAGCCATTCCCTATTCACATTGTTCTACTTGATTTCATTACCTGTTACATTCAATCCTTACTGCCAGCCATTCCCTATTCACATTGTTCTACCTGATTTCATTACCTGTTACATTCAATCCTTACTGCCAGCCATTCCCTATTCACATTGTTCTACCTGATTTCATTACCTGTTACATTCAATCCTTACTGCCAGCCATTCCCTATTCACATTGTTCTACCTGATTTCATTACCTGTTACATTCAATCCCTACTGCCAGCCATTCCCTATTCACATCGTTCTACTTGATTTCATTACCTGTTACATTCAATCCTTACTGCCAGCCATTCCCTATTCACATTGTTCTACTTGATTTCATTACCTGTTACATTCAATCCTTACTGCCAGCCATTCCCTATTCACATTGTTCTACCTGATTTCATTACCTGTTACATTCAATCCCTACTGCCAGCCATTCCCTATTCACATTGTTCTACTTGATTTCATTACCTGTTACATTCAATCCCTACTGCCAGCCATTCCCTATTCACATCGTTCTACTTGATTTCATTACCTGTTACATTCAATCCTTACTGCCAGCCATTCCCTATTCACATTGTTCTACTTGATTTCATTACCTGTTACATTCAATCCTTACTGCCAGCCATTCCCTATTCACATTGTTCTACTTGATTTCATTACCTGTTACATTCAATCCCTACTGCCAGCCATTCCCTATTCACATTGTTCTACTTGATTTCTTACCTGTTACATTCAATCCTTACTGCCAGCCATTCCCTATTCACATCGTTCTACTTGATTTCATTACCTGTTACATTCAATCCTTACTGCCAGCCATTCCCTATTCACATTGTTCTACCTGATTTCATTACCTGTTACATTCAATCCTTACTGCCAGCCATTCCCTATTCACATTGTTCTACTTGATTTCATTACCTGTTACATTCAATCCTTACTGCCAGCCATTCCCTATTCACATTGTTCTACTTGATTTCATTACCTGTTACATTCAATCCTTACTGCCAGCCATTCCCTATTCACATCGTTCTACTTGATTTCATTACCTGTTACATTCAATCCTTACTGCCAGCCATTCCCTATTCACATTGTTCTACTTGTTTTCATTACCTGTTACATTCAATCCTTACTGCCAGCCATTCCCTATTCACATCGTTCTACTTGTTTTCATTACCTGTTACATTCAATCCTTACTGCCAGCCATTCCCTATTCACATTGTTCTACTTGATTTCATTACCTGTTACATTCATAGACACTTTCTTGGAGCCCAACTGTTTGTCAAGTATGGAAAGCTTATCATCCCAGGTTTTGGATATGACAATTGTATCAGGATCAGAAAGTCCAGAAACAACAGACTGAAAATAGAGACATGTAAGAATAAGAAACTAGAAAATAAAAGAACACTCTTAGAGATATGTAAGAATAAGATTTAACATTGCCAATAAAGGAGAAAAGACATAAATTTGTTAATGATCAACTTCCATACACATCTCCATATGCATAAATCCTCTTTAGTAAGACATCTGACATTTTCTAATGATATATGTACATGTAAAATGCAAAAATAAATGTGAATTGCCATTTTTAGTTGTAATTTAGTTCATTTAATCATTTCAAGTATTACAGGTCTGTACTTTGCATTATACTGGATCTAAACATAAGCAAGTAGTGTGCAGATGGCGTAGCAGCATAAAAGAATATTTGAACTTTCCTTAATGTTTTCCTTGTACATATTGGTGAACATTCTGATAATATCCAGAAACATCTATCATCTCAATCTGTACTCTATTGATCAGCTACTGTTTTACAAATAACTTACATGTACTTAATATACATACCTCACCAAGGCCATAGTTTGCATTCATAGTCATCACACCTGGATTACCTGTCACTGGGTCTCTGGTGAACAGCACACCTGAAACATACAAGACATATACATATACAGTGTGCTATACTATTATATTATCATATACATAGACTGATAAATAATGTGGCTAATAATGCTTAAAGCACACTATGACATGTAAGCTTGGTTGTATTCTTTGTGCAATAAATAAATAAAGAAAAAGTACCATATGTGTAAAGTGCAAGACACCATTCTTTAAAAGCACAGTGTATCTTGAATCACAAACATCTCAATAATAATTGGGATCTTCATTTGAAGAGGTGAACTGTACAGTTTCATTACCTGCAGTCTCTGCATGAACCATCTCTTGTATTGGGACACCCATTGTTGACTTGATTGCTTGACCATGTTGTCTACAAACAAATAATATAATTAAAATCCATTTCTTTACTACACTCCTATTTATGCATATTATGGACCATTTCTTTTAAAAATTGAATAATAACTTGCCTTGAGAAGGTAAGACTTTATTCCCCAAAGGATTTGATACTTGACAGAGTGATGGAAGCATGCACATGATTTATACACCAACCATTATCCAGTTTTGATAATCACATGGTCCAATTACAAGCAGATAAACAGGGCATTAACATGACAAAATTGTAACCACCTAGTTGCTCACAATATTTTGAGATCAATCTTAGTCAGATTTGAACTTCTGAGAACTTGTAGATGATTTTTTTGACAAAGAATATGTCAATTGACAAGAGGCGAGTAGAAAAAATCTTGATTTACGTCATTTAATATTCAAAATTCAGTCAAAGTGATCTCATATTTGAAATCTGCATGTAAAAGTACTATTAGAAATATGGTTTCGAAAATTGTCTATCAACTTTAATATATCAAATTTAATTATTTTTGAAAATGTGAAATCTTGTTCGGATTGATTCCCCATAGACCCCATGTTACAAAATCACAAAAAGTGAATTATCTTCTCTTGTATAGGACAGATAACATTTTCTTTTACTGGACATATTTTAATTTGCATAACTATTAGATACATAAGGGTTATATGAAAATTGAACCACGTAAATAGATGTAATTTAAGTTAAAGGAAACTTTCTACTATACCCGCCATACTATGTGACCCGAACGAGCCACCTGGTGGTGAATCTGGTAACTACCTAATCGCATCTGCGTTATTTGACAATTTGAAAAAAGACCTTTTTACCTTGAGAAGGTCAAGTCTTAAATCTAAAAATCAGATTTGAATTTCTGAGATCATAGGCCGAGTATTCGACTATTTTCAGATTTGATTAGAAAGCGTATACATATGTATATTGCATTTAAATGAAAATGAATCTAATTGATGATATTCTTCAAAAAAATCATTTTTATTGTTTTCTTGATAGTTATATACATCCTTTAAGTTATTGGAAGTTTTTAGAATTAGTTACCACCAACCACCAACCGCCGTCACAAAAAAACGGAAACCATAACAATATGTCACCACTTTTGGTGGTGGCATAAAAACTTGTGCAAAAAAGTGCAAAGTTATTCAAAATCTGATGTAGACAGTGAGTAGCAACCTTCTATATTCAACAGCTTGGAATGTGAAGTGAGAAGCCCAGCATTTTAGAACAGCAGTGTAGATATTCTCAAGTCCCCTCACCCCAAGGAGAGTTTCCATTTGGCCTGCAGCAGACATCTCTTCACTGTCTTCACCTGTAAACAGGAAAGCAACAACTGTACTATACTGTATGTCTAGGGTAAATCCACAGAGAACAGCAAATAAAACAAACATATTTTGAGATGATCTGGTTACAATTATATTTTGATCATTGTCTCAAACCTTACATTCAGGGTTTATCAGAAAGGGTTAGGCGTACAATGACCAAGAAGGACATCAAAGTAGCAAAGAAACCAGATAAGACCCATGTCAGGTTGAAACATCTGAGATCAAAATGTTTTATTCAAAAACATCATGTCCATTTTGGCAGAAATTGTGAATTAGTTGAAGAAATTCATTGTGAAAATCTGACATTTTAGTCAGCCAGGTGAACACTCCAGGAGCTGAATTGATTATCAAATATTAAGCCAAAATCAATGCTATTTGATGTCTTTCTACCTTTAATTCAAAACTATAATACAGGCATACATAAGAAATCAAAAATCATTGACTTCTCTCAGATTCAAACAAGGAATTCCCTGACAAAATGAATGTGTTTATTGATAAAAAAATTTCATCTATTTGCATAATTAAAAATCCCCAAACATTTTAGCCATTTTTGCAGAAATTCTTTCATCCCCTGTCTTAATAGGCCAGTTAAAGCCGTATGTTATTTTGAAGAAAAATCATTCACTTGTACTTGAGTTGCCCTACTGAATGAGTGCATGGACAGATAACCATAAAGTACTTTTCAGATCATTTGACAAATATGTTTTAAATTGATTGTAATCATAGTGGGAATATGTGTAGGATATCAACACAAATAAACCCCACCAAACCATATAAATCAGTGTACCTGCTGCAGAGGAACGCACAGCAAAAGCCTTCTCCCTCCAGGTATCAGCAAAGACATGCTGCAACATCTCCTCTATGGCAATCTTCACATCTGCTTGGAGAGGTGACTTCTGGAACATTCTCACCAGAGCTTCACATGTACACTGGAAATCACCATTTCTTTGACCACTGAAATTATATACATGTATATACAATGTTAAGGCTATGTGAATGAATGGGATATCGTCCAAATACAGGAAGGGACAGACTAATCTGAGACACAAGGAAAGATACTCTTCTTCCTACTCAAACTTTGTTCAGCCAGATAGCTAGTTCTTACCTTGTAATATCAGACAACTCTCTTATTTTCTCCTCTATTGCGCAATTGTTCTGCAAGTAAACAAGAGTTTGATGAGTTTGAATCAACTTTCATTGAACCAGATCATTCAAGAAGTTTGTAAATATATCATTTAGTGAGGCTGCAGTTTCATTAATTATTATATTACATGTACATGACTTAATACAAAATATGAATGTTATATACAGTATTTCCAATGTTGCTCTCTAATTATTCAACCTCACTGATGTCTATCACATACAGTATATAACAATTGCATTATTTGATTCCGTGTCATAATGTTTGCTTTTTGACCAGATAGTAGGTGATACATGGAAGGCTGTTAGCAATATTTCAGAGGGAGCTATACAAGCTCATTTGAAAGTTATACATACCTGTAGGTGTTGATCAAAGGCTGCTATTGTTACACAAAACCCTTTAGGGACAGTAAACCCCATCTGAAATGGGTAAAATGGTGTTAGATTGTTTTGGTTTAAAAAATATATAGTAGAGTTGAATAAAGAAGGTTTGAAATTCCTCATATTGTGGTTGACATAAAATATTCTTCCTTTTAAGTCATGAAATCATTTATTCAATGCATTTCGGAATATCATTAATATTCATTCAATGTATACTGCAGTATTATTTATTCAATTTACTTTGGAGGATCATTTATTCAACATATTTTTGAGTTTTCTAAATTAAATGTATTTTTAATATGCATCCACCTCACATTTCAAGATGGAGGATGAAAGACTCTAGTCTCTGCTAGGTGAGATGAAATCTTATCTGTGAAATAGGTAAAAGAAATGATCAGGCTTAGAGGCTGAAAGTTCAGACTCAGGTTTCTGAAAATAAAATTTATCGATTTTACCTGTTCACCAACAGTTGATAGAAGTGCCAGCTGGGATCCTTTTCCGCCTACCAATAAGGAGCTTCCACAGGCATTATGGGTAAATGGAAAAACTAATGTATTCTTTTCAAGTCCGACAGAGGGTTCCTTCAACATAGTCACAGTATGTGGTCGTTCAGTGATTGGGCACATACCTTCATTTCTGTAAAATATGTTTCCACAATTCAAGATTCTTCATACACAAAATTTCTCAATCTAGTGGTTTGATTACTGAGATCTCAACTGAGTGATTTGATTATTGAGATCTCAACTGAGTAGTTCGATAGTTGAGATATCAAATGAGTGGTTTTAATACTGAGATCTCAAATGAATGGTTTGATTATTGAGATCTCAACTGAGTGGTTTGATTATTGAGATCTCAAATGAGTGATTTGATTACTGAGATCTCAATTGAGTGATTTGATTATGGAGATCTCAAATGAATGGTTCAATTACTGAGATCTCAAATGAATGGTTTCATTATTAGGATGTCAACTGAGTGATTTCATTATTAGGATGTCAACTGAGTGGTTTCATTATAAGGATGTCAACTGAGTGGTTTCATTATAAGGATGTCAACTGAGTGGTTTCATTATTAGGATGTCAACTGAGTGGTTTCATTATTAGGATGTCAACTGAGTGGTTTCATTATAAGGATGTCAACTGAGTGGTTTCATTATTAGGATGTCAACTGAGTGGTTTCATTATTAGGATGTCAACTGAGTGGTTTCATTATTAGGATGTCAACTGAGTGGTTTCATTATAAGGATGTCAACTGAGTGGTTTCATTATTAGGATGTCAACTGAGTGGTTTCATTATTAGGATGTCAACTGAGTGGTTTCATTATTAGGATGTCAACTGAGTGGTTTCATTATTAGGATGTCAACTGAGTGGTTTCATTATAAGGATGTCAACTGAGTGGTTTCATTATTGAGATCTAAATCTTGTTTTCTTTAACTTATAGAAATATGCACCTATATAGGAGTTCACTTATCCCATAGCCCTTTACACCATTCATTGTGAAGTTTGCGATTCTTTCATGCACGACTGATCGCCAGTCTTCATGTTGATAGTAAATGTGGGTGTACCGGACATTAACTTGAAGTGTGTACAGCTTCCCTCCTGGAAAACAACAGTTATTTCTCATATTTATGACTAATCACAAACAGTAATAACTCCAATATATTAAACAGCAATATTTTTTAATTTCAGTAACTATTAAACAAAAATTTATGGGGCGTATACATATATTGATATCCGTTGCTCTACAGTTTTATAGACACATTAAAAGGTTTCACCACAAGAAGCTCTTTGATGTCAAGGCCTTTGACTTAATAGAGAAGAATTATCAAAGCTCATCAAGAATGCACAGAAACACATCTTGCAAAGGTAGTACAAGAACCTTTATAATCTATTTTTTCTATTGCTGTCCCATGTACCTTTGTGATTAATTTGACAAGTTATACTCTACATACAGAGAAATTGAAGAAATATACAGTTATGAAGAGTTTTGAAATGTGCAAAGTTACCAGCTTTAAAGCTAAAAGCATAATCTCCAGGTGCATCCTGGTTCTCCCCGTTGTTGGCAAGGTCAAGGTCAGTCCAAGTTATAGGGAACTGGCGAGAATTTGCTTGCATAAGGAATCCCATCTTCAGACTGAAACAGTGGATAAATATAAAGAATTGGAGGAATTAGTATCAACTATCATATACGTCTAAAATATATGAATTGTTTTACACAAGATGTTTAACCAATTAAAACATTCTATAAAATATTGCACCTGCGGTCTGCCACTTTTCAACCACATGTGTTTTGCAGTTTACATCCTCAAACTGAGGAGAGAAACTGAGGAGAGGAGTGTTGGATATGTGTCAACTGAGGTTACTTACTATGACAAAGCTCCTGGCATGCTGATCACTCCAATGTGGAATGACCTCCCATCCTCCAGGTGCCCCATGTGAATAATATAGCGATAGATGGAATGCCAGTTGCGAACACCTGCTCCACAGAAACAATCATAGATGTACATGTACCTTATTAATTGACTAATGGCACATTTGTTGGTATTATTGTGGCATTTTTACATTAGCTGCATTACAGTTGTAATTGATTTTAATATAATAGGTTAATTAAAAGCTTTGTAGGTCCGTAACGAAGCCATAAAGTCAAATTAACTTGAAAATTAAAACAGCTTATTATAGTGAAATATTTACCATATGAATGATCTCTGACTCCACGTAAAGCAATCATCATTTCAGTGCCCCCATCTATCTGCAGTGATCCTTTCATCTCTCCAAACTGTTCATAATGAGTTTGATGTGAGCTGAAATAAACAGTTCATAATAAGTTTGATGTGAGCTGAAAAAAAACTGTTCATAATGAGTTTGATGTGAGCTGAAAGAAACAGTTCATCATGAGTTTGATGTGAGCTGAAAGAAACTGTTCATAATGAATTTGATGTGAGCTGAAAGAAACAGTTCATTATGAGTTTGATGTAAGCTGAAAGAAACTGTTCATAATGAGTTTGATATGAGCTGAAAGAAACAGTTCATAATGATTTTTATGTGAGCTGAAAGATTGATATGAGCTGAAAAACCGCTCATAATGAAGGAACAAGGAATTGCAGGGGAATAGCTATTTAAGAATAGGTAGTGTTGTCCTCCAGATAATAAAAATATGCATTCTGTCATCATGTTAGAACAGTTAAAACATGTAGGTGTCCATGCAAATGTTAATATTGTAGCGGAAACCACAATGAATGGAAGCCATGCTTTCTAAACCAACATCAGGCTTTATTCTAGACCACCTGCACCAACCTTAGTCACTCATACAGGCCTTGGGCTTTGTTTATTACTACTAAAAATTAAAATGGAATACAAATTGCAATTTTTTTACAAATCATACAGTAAACAACCTATTAAAGTTGACAGAACTTATACAAAATTACCTGAAAATGTTTTGCACAAATAAAAACCCCATATAAAGTTTTCTGCAAGTTGAAATGATAAAATCTGTCTGGAAGATAAAATAAAAGTGGAGAAGTGCACAGTGGTCATAATGCCTGGTACCATGAAATACAAGAGGCCACTAAATGGACAGATATGCAATGCAAAGTGCAGATTTGTAAAGTCCTAGAGCTATTGAAAGACAAATAGATTATGTTAATTTGCATATAAACTAAATATGTGAACACTTTTTCAAGAATGTCTATGTTGTTGAAGAATTACCAATTCAATGTAACCAGAACCAATTGTAACGTAATAATGACTTACATGAATTCTACAAGTGTTGAGTCAGTGCTCATTAAAGAAAGGTTTTACTGTACTTCAATAAATGAAATATAAAATGCTTTCTATAAAGCTAAGACCACAATAAATATTCACAATATGGAGCAGCATACTATATTTGTAGTCTTCGTGTTTGGCATTATTAATTCTGGGAAAGGGTACCAATATTTCCAAGGGCTTATCCCAAATGGAGATCAGGTCCCTCACCCCTGCAAGGAAAACTACACTTGGAATGGTGTGGGACATAGGAACCCTGAAGGGGGAGGTAGTAGAAACCAATTTGGGATAGACTTCTTGGCAAATGGAAAGGTGAGTACCAAACAATTTATGTAGAAGACTTTTAAAGTCCATGCATCAAAATTTTAAGCAATCTGTGAAGGCTAAAAAGGATTTTTGACCTTTCAAAGAGCAGTTAAGGTTAAATCTGTAAAACAAGATAAGATATGAACTTATGGCAATTTGTAGATGATTCCAAAAAAGTCAAAAATGATCCTGAAAAATCTTGAAAATCCTTTATCATAAATGTAATACTGTACATGTATTTAAAAACTGGTATCGAAGTTCAAAGTCTGTGTTTGAACCTTTAAAAAGCCAAACTTCAACTGAGGATTGAAAAAACTTTTAAGAACTTTTATTTTTCTCGGTAGACCGGATGTAAATTTATGAGTCGAGTAAATGGTGATAATATTCTTTTTATGAAGCGGGGAAGTCAAAACAGTATTAATAGAATTCATAGTTAGCAATCGAAGATCAATTAGGAGCATTTAAAATCGAATCCATGGGAAAATTGATATAACTTTATACATAGAAGACGTATAATCTTTATACATCATCTTCTTTGTCATGGACGTCAGAGAACACACTTCTGGTTTAAAAATGATAGATAATTTTATCCATCAAAAAATATTTTTTTATGAATTTGTCCGATATCTGCTTAAATATGGTTTGTATATTTATGTTGCTTAATTGTTAGGTATCAGCATATAAAATCCATCAACTGTTATTTGAGTTATCAAAGATTACATATTTTACAAAAAAATGGCAGCCATTCATAATTAAGTGACCATATTGAGAATTCCTTCTTGGGTAGAAGTCCTAATACCCATTAGACATACATGTATGCCTAAATAATTTGAGCCAAATCTGTCAACAACCTTTGACTTATAGCCTGGATAAACAAATGGATGGATGGATAAACAGATGGACAGGTAAATGGATGGACTGTTTCTCTATATCCCTACAAAATTTGTTCAGTGGGATGATAATTTAATACTTTTTGAAATTATGTTTTAAGATGAGTCATGATCCACGAATTTTCCTATTTGTTAACTAAGTCTCGATTTACAAATTACAAAGGAATTAAACATCACATATCGTAAATAGATTTCATGCATACATTTACACCTTAATAAGTGCCCATTTAGTCTTTTTTAATGTTACTTTACTATACAGTAGACTAGAGAATAATTGATTCAGATACAGGGTGAGCCAAAAACACATCCGTATTTTTAATTTCAATATAACTATTTTGTTAGTAATACTGAAATATAAAATGTTGACATTTTTGTGTATCAGGTCAAAGATGCATGACACAATCCACAATCTAACATAAAATTGATTCACAAATATAAAGAGATAAAAGACATCCAAGGTGGCCATCTAAAATATAAAAATCAGCTGTAAACTTAATACTATACATCTAACACCTGTAATGGTTTGAAATATCAGTCACCTGTTAATTTTGCATGAATTCGCTAAATGAATTATGGATGATTATAACCACGAATGTCTTATATCAAGACTTTGAATAAGGATAGTAGCCCTAATTCAAAGGCTAGATTTGACAGTTTGATCTGCATAACAACAATGTGATATATATCATGCCTACCTATGTGTGAAAAAGAATAGTGTCTGATTTTAATGTCTCAATGCATAGCTATTTTGTCTACAGGGTGTCCCAAAAGTATGCCCCCTCCCTAGGCAGACATATACCATAGTATGTGTCAAATATCATTTTAAAGCTTATCCAAAGCTTCATCAATTTGCCAAGTATCATGGTTCAAATAACACAGATAAGACTAACTGTTTTTTTTAAAGAAATGGAACCCTACTCTATGTATGAAAGACTCAGACAAGGATGGTATGAGCAATGGCCAGGAACTTGGAGACCCCAGCTGTGTGTGGAGGCCTGGGGCACAGGCTAACAGGACATCTGATCTCTCACATCCAGGTAAATTTATTCACATAGCCAGCTTATCTGATTAGCAAACATCTCTCTCTTTAGTATAATATGAAATGCATAGACCTAAATATGGTTCACATATGAAAATGACCTCATTACCATTGACCAAACAAATAAACATTAATTCAGTTGATCAAACATTCATACTGTTGACCAAACACATTAGACCTTTATACTGCTGACCAAACACATTAGATTTTTAAACTGTTGACCAAACATATAGACCTTTGAACTGTTGACCAAACACATAGACCTTTATACTGTTGACCAAACACACTGCCATTAATACTGTTGACCAAACACATAGACCTTTATACTGTTGACCAAACACATTGCCATTAATACTGTTGACCAAACACATAGACCTTTATACTGTTGACAAAACACATTGCCATTAATACTGTTGACCAAACACAAAGACCTTTATACTGTTAACCAACCAAACATATAGAACTTAATACTATTGACCAAACACAATGCCATTAATACTGTTGACCAAACACATAGACCTTTATACTGTTGACCAAACACATTGCCATTAATACTGTTGACCAAACACATAGACCTTTATACTGTTGACCAAACACATTGCCATTAATACTGTTGACCAAACACATAGACCTTTATACTGTTAACCAACCAAACATATAGAACTTAATACTATTGACCAAACACAATGCCATTAATACTGTTGACCAAACACATAGACCTTTATACTGTTGACCAAATGCATTTGCCATTAATACTGTTGATCAAACACATAGACCTTTATACTGTTGACCAAATGCATTTGCCATTAATACTGTTGATCAAACACATAGACCTTCATACTGTTAACCAACCAAACATATAGAACTTTATACTATTGACTAAACACATAGACCTTAATAGATAGACCTGAATACCATTGACCAAATATATATACATGTACCCTAATTCTGTTGACTAAACATATAGACTTTTATACTGTTGACCAAACACACAGGCCCTAATAATGCTGACCAAACATACAAGACTAAACATACCATAAAAGTCTTAATTGGTGCCATGTCCCTATTAGAGCCCCCAAACTTTTGGAGGCCTGAGGGTGAGTCCCTGGGTCCTTGAATTAACAATCATTAGGGTCAAATGAAGAAATCCAGTGGGTGATAATAGAGTACTTGCTGGTTTTCGTTACTTTTTGCAGTTTTTCAAAAAGTATTCCAGCTTGAATATGTCACTCACACCATAAGATGTATAAAATGTTGGTAATTCATGTCCATAATCCGTGATTTTTCCTGTTATCTAGCCATCTTGTTTTGGTATGTGTTGAAAATAGCCGGTCCCAATATGCAATCCAAAATGAGACTGAGAAGAAATTCAGTAGGTTAAGAACGTTTTCCTATCGACTTGTCAAATTTTTACCAATTTTTCTAGGCATTTTATCTCAGTCGGGACTCATATTGGCGCTAATAAGGAAAACTTTTTTAACCGTTTTGACTTACTTTAAGTGCCTGGGCACCAATCATGGCTAATACGGTACCTTAATTCTGTTGACCAAACATGTATACTTTTATATTGTTGACTATATAGACCTTAATTCTGTTGGCTAAATATATAGACCTTAAAACTGTGGACCAAACACATTTACCTAATTATTATTCACCAAACATATAGACCTCTATACTGTGTGACCAAACATATAGACCTTTATACTGCTGACTAAACATATAGACCATTATACTGTTGACCTTACACATTAGACATACTGTTAACCAAATACATTGGTCTTTATACTGTTGACCAATGATATAGACCATTATACTTTTTACTAAACATATAAACCTTTATACTGTTGACCAAATATACATCCTTAATTCTGCTGGCCAAACAAACATACCTTAATACTGTTGACCAAACACATAGACCTTAATACTGCTGAGCAAACACATACTAGTAGACCTTAATATTGTTCACTGAACACATAGACCTTAATGCTGTTGTTCAAACATATAGATTTTTCTACAGTTGACCGAACACATAGACCTGAAAGATATGACCATTCATGCCCTAGACTTCTAGATGAAAAACTTATTGCAATTGTACATTCATTTCATTCAAATGATTATCATAGTTTCCTGATTGGTTGATTGCAGGAGTTTGTGAACCACTGGATTCTGAAATATGTCTGGCCCAGAACCAATGGGAATTCTGTGACAGCAATGAGTTTAAGTGTCCACATTAGACCTTTATACTGCTGACCAAACACATTAGATTTTTAAACTGTTGACCAAACATATAGACCTTTGAACTGTTGACCAAACACATAGACCTTTATACTGTTGACCAAACACACTGCCATTAATACTGTTGACCAAACACATAGACCTTTATACTGTTGACCAAACACATTGCCATTAATACTGTTGACCAAACACATAGACCTTTATACTGTTGACAAAACACATTGCCATTAATACTGTTGACCAAACACATAGACCTTTATACTGTTAACCAACCAAACATATAGAACTTAATACTATTGACCAAACACAATGCCATTAATACTGTTGACCAAACACATAGACCTTTATACTGTTGACCAAACACATTGCCATTAATACTGTTGACCAAACACATAGACCTTTATACTGTTGACCAAACACATTGCCATTAATACTGTTGACCAAACACATAGACCTTTATACTGTTAACCAACCAAACATATAGAACTTAATACTATTGACCAAACACAATGCCATTAATACTGTTGACCAAACACATAGACCTTTATACTGTTGACCAAATGCATTTGCCATTAATACTGTTGATCAAACACATAGACCTTTATACTGTTGACCAAATGCATTTGCCATTAATACTGTTGATCAAACACATAGACCTTCATACTGTTAACCAACCAAACATATAGAACTTTATACTATTGACTAAACACATAGACCTTAATAGATAGACCTGAATACCATTGACCAAATATATATACATGTACCCTAATTCTGTTGACTAAACATATAGACTTTTATACTGTTGACCAAACACACAGGCCCTAATAATGCTGACCAAACATACAAGACTAAACATACCATAAAAGTCTTAATTGGTGCCATGTCCCTATTAGAGCCCCCAAACTTTTGGAGGCCTGAGGGTGAGTCCCTGGGTCCTTGAATTAACAATCATTAGGGTCAAATGAAGAAATCCAGTGGGTGATAATAGAGTACTTGCTGGTTTTCGTTACTTTTTGCAGTTTTTCAAAAAGTATTCCAGCTTGAATATGTCACTCACACCATAAGATGTATAAAATGTTGGTAATTCATGTCCATAATCCGTGATTTTTCCTGTTATCTAGCCATCTTGTTTTGGTATGTGTTGAAAATAGCCGGTCCCAATATGCAATCCAAAATGAGACTGAGAAGAAATTCAGTAGGTTAAGAACGTTTTCCTATCGACTTGTCAAATTTTTACCAATTTTTCTAGGCATTTTATCTCAGTCGGGACTCATATTGGCGCTAATAAGGAAAACTTTTTTAACCGTTTTGACTTACTTTAAGTGCCTGGGCACCAATCATGGCTAATACGGTACCTTAATTCTGTTGACCAAACATGTATACTTTTATATTGTTGACTATATAGACCTTAATTCTGTTGGCTAAATATATAGACCTTAAAACTGTGGACCAAACACATTTACCTAATTATTATTCACCAAACATATAGACCTCTATACTGTGTGACCAAACATATAGACCTTTATACTGCTGACTAAACATATAGACCATTATACTGTTGACCTTACACATTAGACATACTGTTAACCAAATACATTGGTCTTTATACTGTTGACCAATGATATAGACCATTATACTTTTTACTAAACATATAAACCTTTATACTGTTGACCAAATATACATCCTTAATTCTGCTGGCCAAACAAACATACCTTAATACTGTTGACCAAACACATAGACCTTAATACTGCTGAGCAAACACATACTAGTAGACCTTAATATTGTTCACTGAACACATAGACCTTAATGCTGTTGTTCAAACATATAGATTTTTCTACAGTTGACCGAACACATAGACCTGAAAGATATGACCATTCATGCCCTAGACTTCTAGATGAAAAACTTATTGCAATTGTACATTCATTTCATTCAAATGATTATCATAGTTTCCTGATTGGTTGATTGCAGGAGTTTGTGAACCACTGGATTCTGAAATATGTCTGGCCCAGAACCAATGGGAATTCTGTGACAGCAATGAGTTTAAGTGTCCAGCACTGGATGCAACAAGTAAGTAAGACAATACAATGACTTTACCATTCTCAAAATGGTCACCTTGTAAATTAGTCAGCATGGCCACAAGCTCATTTAACCTGTGCACTGGTCTGCTATAATAGCTGTAAATTTAAAGCAAATAGCTCTACTGTTTCACAGTTACACTACCCTTGAATTACAAACCATCTTAGTTATCCTTTTATGTCACCATGAACGCATAATAACAGAAAAACTTGTACTTGATTTCAGTTTATTTTTTCACAATATCAAAGCATGAGCATTAAGAATCTTATTCTGCTAAACTTGTGTTGATCAGTTAATCAATGACTGATCAAAATTCACAACACTTATTAATTTATTTAATAGGCTTGCGGAGTCAGAAAATTAGAATTTGGAAAAAAGTTGAAACTGGCCCTTCGGCAAATTAGTGCTTGGATTAAATACCACTTATACAGTATATTCTTTTTTCAATTCAATTTTCAATTCAATTATTTATTTCATAATTCTTATATAATATACACTATAAAAACAAACCGCTAGACACCCTAGTGGGTATATGTTGCGGTTTAACAGAAATCATTAAAATGACAACTAGACTACATATAAAAGAAAACACTTATATTATGTTACATGTAGGTATATAAAAATGGTATTAACAATTTATCTAAGGATGTACAATGTAAATTTTAAATTTTATATGATAAACTATTTGTTACAGTATACTGAATGTTTATTATAATTATCTCTATTTTTACATTTGCAGAGGATGTGCATACATTGACTTTGCGCTTTAACCATACTAAGGTTCCAGCACAAAAGACCAATTATTACTGCCAGACATTTGATATTCCCACTGACCAAGATTATCACATAATTGCCTCTAAGCCAATCATAAACAACACGGCAGTGATGCACCATTCTGTGATTTTTGGATGTTTAGGAGGTTATGGTTAGTATGTATAGGAGATATCAATTAGATTTCAATTCTGAATGCGACATAAGAGTTAGAATAACAAAAAGGAATGAAAATGGCACCATTAACTGAGCTCATTTTGTTATTCCTCTTCCATATGTTTCAAAACTTCATGTAGGTCAAGCTGCAAAAGTAGGTCAAAATGCAAAATAACTGAAGCTTACACTGATATATGTCAAAACCAACATATACTATGAGTTGGAAGTAGTATAAATGACACAGAATCACGTCTTAAGGTACAGCTGGAAAATAACATTTTGGTAAAAAATTGCTATATGGCACATGTTATTTTCTGGTACAAAATAAAGTATGAAGGTTTCCAGACATCACAGGAGCTACCATTGACCTGTTTCCAGGTTTACTAAAAATAGACAGTGTAATGATACTTTACTGAAAAAAGCAAGGAAATACAAACATGCCTTCATACTTAATTTTGTACCAGAAAATAACATGTGCAGGTATAGCAATTTTTTACCAAAATGTTACTTTCCAGCTGAACCTTAATGACTCTGCTATATATTGTGATATTTTGATGACAATAAATGAGGCAAAAGAAGGAACTGGGATCAATGGTTATGAGGTTACAGGTGTGGATCCCATAAAATGGAAAATGACATGACCGTTGGAATTAATGGAGATGAGCACTTGAATGATAAACAAAGAGCATGAGTTCAACTGAGAAAGTAATAAGAAATCATAAGACATGTATGCATTTAATGTCTGCCTTAAATTACCTATTAGTCTGAAAGTGTAATTTCACTATCTTCCAAGTCAGTGACAGATACCAGAAACCAGTGCTGTTTTACACATTGCATACTCAGCTGAATATACATATGTACTAAGACTAATATGTTGTTATACATTACAGGAGATGATGCCGGGTCAATGTATAATACTGCCTCTCCATGAGGAATGAAGCTATCAGAGGACAGGTGAACTCAAATGATTATATGGTCATGTGACTAATATGTTGTTATACATTACAGGAGATGATGCCGAGTCACTGTATAATACTGCCTCTCCATGTGGAATGAAGCTATCAGAGGACAGGTTAACTCAAATGATTATATGGTAATAAGACTAATATGTTGTTATACATTACAGGAGATGATGCCGGGTCAATGTATAATACTGCCTCTCCATGAGGAATGAAGCTATCAGAGGACAGGTGAACTCAAATGATTATATGGTAATAAGACTAATATGTTGTTATACATTACAGGAGATGATGCCGGGTCAATGTATAATACTGCCTCTCCATGTGGAATGAAGCTATCAGAGGACAGGTTAACTCAAATGATTATATGGTAATAAGACTAATATGTTGTTATACATTACAGGAGATGATACCGGGTCACTGTATAATACTGCCTCTCCATGAGGAATGAAGCTATCAGAGGACAGGTGAACTCAAATGATTATATGGTAATAAGACTAATATGTTGTTATACATTACAGGAGATGATGCCGGGTCAATGTATAATACTGCCTCTCCATGTGGAATGAAGCTATCAGAGGACAGGTTAACTCAAATGATTATATGGTAATAAGACTAATATGTTGTTCCACATTACAGGAGATGATACCGGCTCACTGAATAATACTGCCTCTCCATGAGGAATGAAGCTATCAGAGGACAGGTTAACTCAAATGATTATATGGTCATAAGACTAATATGTTGTTATACATTACAGGAGATGATACCGGGTCACTGTATAATACTGCCTCTCCATGTGGAATGAAGCTATCAGAGGACAGGTTAACTCAAATGATTATATGGTCATAAGACTAATATGTTGTTCCACATTACAGGAGATGATGCCGGGTCACTGTATAATACTGCCTCTCCATGAGGAATGAAGCTATCACGAGGACAGGTTAACTCAAATGATTATATGGTCATAAGACTAATATGTTGTTATACATTACAGGAGATGATACCGGGTCACTGTATAATACTGCCTCTCCATGTGGAATGAAGCTATCAGAGGACAGGTTAACTCAAATGATTATATGGCCATAAGACTAATATGTTGTTATACATTACAGGAGATGATACCGGGTCACTGTATAATACTGTCTCTCCATGAGGAATGAAGCTATCAGAGGACAGGTTAACTCAAATGATTATATGGTCATAAGACTAATATGTTGTTCTACATTACAGGAGATGATGCCGAGTCACTGTATAATACTGCCTCTCCATGAGGAATGAAGCCATCAGAGGACAGGTGAACTCAAATGATTATATGGTCATGTGACTAATATGTTGTTATAAATTACAGGAGATGATACCGGGTCACTGTATAATACTGCCTCTCCATGAGGAATGAAGCTATCAGAGGACAGGTTAACTCAAATGATTATATGGTCATAAGACTAATATGTTGTTCCACATTACAGGAGATGATGCTGGGTCACTGTATAATACTGCCTCTCCATGAGGAATGAAGCTATCAGAGGACAGGTTAACTCAAATGATTATATGGTCATAAGACTAATATGTTGTTCTACATTACAGGAGATGATACCGGGTCACTGTATAATACTGCCTCTCCATGTGGAATGAAGCTATCAGAGGACAGGTTAACTCAAATGATTATATGGTCATAAGACTAATATGTTGTTCTACATTACAGGAGATGATGCAGGGTCACTGTATAATACTGCCTCTCCATGTGGAATGAAGCTATCAGAAGACAGGTGAACTCAAATGATTATATGGTCATAAGACTAATATGTTGTTCCACATTACAGGAGATGATACCGGGTCACTGTATAATACTGCCTCTCCATGAGGAATGAAGCTATCAGAGGACAGGTTAACTCAAATGATTATATGGTCATAAGACTAATATGTTGTTCTACATTACAGGAGATGATGCCGAGCCACTGTATAATACTGCCTCTCCATGAGGAATGAAGCCATCGGATGACAGGTTAACTTAAATGATTATATGGTAATAAGACTAATATGTTGTTCTACATTACAGGAGATGATGCCGAGTCACTGTATAATACTGCCTCTCCATGAGGAATGAAGCTATCAGAGGACAGGTTAACTCAAATGATTATATGGTCATAAGACTAATATGTTGTTCTACATTACAGGAGATGATGCTGGGTCACTGTATAATACTGTATCTCCATGAGGAATGAAGCTATCAGATGACAGGTTAACTCAAATGATTATATGGTCATAAGACTAATATGTTGTTATAAATTACAGGAGATGATACCGGGTCACTGTATAATACTGCCTCTCCATGAGGAATGAAGCTATCAGAGGACAGGTTAACTCAAATGATTATATGGTAATAAGACTAATATGTTGTTCCACATTACAGGAGATGATGCTGGGTCACTGTATAATACTGCCTCTCCATGTGGAATGAAGCTATCAGAGGACAGGTTAACTCAAATGATAATATGGTAATAAGACTAATATGTTGTTCTACATTACAGGAGATGATGCCGAGTCACTGTATAATACTGCCTCTCCATGAGGAATGAAGCTATCAGAGGACAGGTTAACTCAAATGATTATATGGTAATAAGACTAATATCTTGTTATACATTACAGGAGATGATGCCGGGTCACTGTATAATACTGCCTCTCCATGAGGAATGAAGCTATCAGAGGACAGGTTAACTCAAATGATTATATGGTCATAAGACTAATATGTTGTTCTACATTACAGGAGATGATACCGGGTCACTGTATAATACTGCCTCTCCATGTGGAATGAAGCTATCAGAGGACAGGTTAACTCAAATGATTATATGGTCATGTGACTAATATGTTGTTATACATTACAGGAGATGATACCGGGTCACTGTATTATACTGCCTCTCCATGAGGAATGAAGCTATCAGAGGACAGGTGAACTCAAATGATTATATGGTAATAAGACTAATATGTTGTTCTACATTACAGGAGATGATGCCGAGTCACTGTATAATACTGCCTCTCCATGAGGAATGAAGCTATCAGAGGACAGGTTAACTCAAATGATTATATGGTAATAAGACTAATATGTTGTTATACATTACAGGAGATGATACCGGGTCACTGTATAATACTGCCTCTCCATGAGGAATGAAGCTATCAGAGGACAGGTGAACTCAAATGATAATATGGTAATAAGACTAATATGTTGTTCTACATTACAGGAGATGATGCCGGGTCAATGTATAATACTGCCTCTCCATGAGGAATGAAGCCATCGGATGACAGGTGAACTCAAATGATTATATGGTAATAAGACTAATATGTTGTTCTACATTACAGGAGATGATGCCGGGTCAATGTATAATACTGCCTCTCCATGAGGAATGAAGCTATCAGATGACAGGTGAACTCAAATGATTATATGGTCATGTGACTAATATGTTGTTATACATTACAGGAGATGATGCCGGGTCAATGTATAATACTGCCTCTCCATGAGGAATGAAGCTATCAGAGGACAGGTGAACTCAGATGATTATATGGTCATAAGACTAATATGTAATGTTATAAATTACAGGAGATGCGAGGAATGAAGCTATCAGATGACAGGTGAACTTAAATGATTATATGGTCACAAGACTAATATGTTGTTCCACATTACAGGAGATGATACCGGGTCACTGTATAATACTGCCTCTCCATGAGGAATGAAGCTATCAGAGGACAGGTTAACTCAAATGATTATATGGTCACAAGACTAATATGTTGTTCTACATTACAGGAGATGATGCCGGGTCACTGTATAATACTGACTCTCCATGAGGAATGAAGCTATCAGAGGACAGGTTAACTCAAATGATTATATGGTCATACGACTAATATGTTGTTATACATTACAGGAGATGATGCCGGGTCAATGTATAATACTGCCTCTCCATGAGGAATGAAGCCATCGGATGACAGGTGAACTGAAATGATTATATGGTAATAAGACTAATATGTTGTTCCACATTACAGGAGATGATACCGGGTCACTGTATAATACTGCCTCTCCATGAGTAATGAAGTCATCGGATGACAGGTGAACTCAAATGATTATATGGTCATAAGACTAATATGTTGTTCTACATTACAGGAGATGATACTGGGTCACTGTATAATACTGCCTCTCCATGAGGAATGAAGCTATCAGAGGACAGGTTAACTCAAATGATTATATGGTCATGTGACTAATATGTTGTTCCACATTACAGGAGATGATACCGGGTCACTGTATAATACTGCCTCTCCATGAGGAATGAAGCTATCAGAGGACAGGTTAACTCAAATGATTATATGGTCACAAGACTAATATGTTGTTCTACATTACAGGAGATGATGCCGGGTCACTGTATAATACTGCCTCTCCATGAGGAAAGAAGCTATCAGAGGACAGGTTAACTCAAATGATTATATGGTCATAAGACTAATATGTTGTTATACATTACAGGAGATGATGCCGGGTCAATGTATAATACTGCCTCTCCATGAGGAATGAAGCCATCGGATGACAGGTGAACTGAAATGATTATATGGTAATAAGACTAATATGTTGTTCCACATTACAGGAGATGATACCGGGTCACTGTATAATACTGCCTCTCCATGAGTAATGAAGCCATCGGATGACAGGTGAACTCAAATGATTATATGGTCATAAGACTAATATGTTGTTCTACATTACAGGAGATGATACTGGGTCACTGTATAATACTGCCTCTCCATGAGGAATGAAGCTATCAGAGGACAGGTTAACTCAAATGATTATATGGTCATGTGACTAATATGTTGTTATACATTACAGGAGATGATACCGGGTCACTGTATAATACTGCCTCTCCATGAGGAATGAAGCTATCAGAGGACAGGTTAACTCAAATGATTATATGGTAATAAGACTAATATGTTGTTATACATTACAGGAGATGATACCGGGTCACTGTATAATACTGCCTCTCCATGAGGAATGAAGCTATCAGAGGACAGGTTAACTCAAATGATTATATGGCTATAAGACTAATATGTTGTTATACATTACAGGAGATGATGCCGAGTCACTGTATAATACTGCCTCTCCATGAGGAATGAAGCTATCAGAGGACAGGTTAACTTAAATGATTATATGGTCACAAGACTAATATGTTGTTATACATTACAGGAGATGATGCCGAGTCACTGTATAATACTGCCTCTCCATGAGGAATGAAGCTATCAGAGGACAGGTTAACTCAAATGATTATATGGTAATAAGACTAATATGTTGTTATACATTACAGGAGATGATGCCGGGTCAATGTATAATACTGCCTCTCCATGAGGAAAGAAGCCATCGGATGACAGGTGAACTCAAATGATTATATGGTAATAAGACTAATATGTTGTTATACATTACAGGAGATGATGCCGGGTCAATGTATAATACTGCCTCTCTATGAGGAATGAAGCTATCAGATGAAAGGTGAACTCAGATGATTATATGGTCATAAGACTAATATGTAATGTTATAAATTACAGGAGATGCGAGGAATGAAGCTATCAGATGACAGGTGAACTTAAATGATTATATGGTCACAAGACTAATATGTAATGTTATATATTATAGGAGATGATGCCGGGTCAATGTATAATACTGCCTCTCCATGTGGAATGAGGCCATCAGATGATAGGTGCACTCAGATGATTATTGCTTGGTCATTAGGCTTCCATGGTCAATGTGAGAATGAAAGAATGGGTTACAGAATTGGAAAAACTGGCTACACAAAACTTGTTATTCAGGTATTGTCTGTTGTTTATCTCAATAAGTCACTTTTTAGATTCAAAACATGATACTTGATGGGAATGTTTAACATGATTTGCATATATTTCTACAAACAAACATTATCACTAATACTGGATGAGCGTGTTGTAAAAGTGGTTTTGAAAAGTAGCAAATTTCTCTTCATATAGGTTATTTGTGGTTTATTATTATACATTGATTCTGAAATCATTGGTGTCTAGTTTTTCAGCGTTTTGGAAATATTCAGATTTATACCCCCTGGTGTAATTTTAAGGGGGGGTACTTGGAAAGCCATATATCATTCCTAGAATATAGAGCCAATCATCTTGATTTTTCCAGGAAATCATGTACTTATCATGTCCTACCATTATAACAAGTTTCATTAAAGTTGATCAACTGGTTGCTATGGAAATGGAGATCATATGTTAAAAAGTACACATTTTCGTCAAAATGTAAGATACCCCATGAGACAAAACACATATTATTTTCATGAAATTGGAAGGAATCACCATGAAACCATTTTAGAAAACTTATTTCAAGTATATTTGATAATATTAAATCAACTGCTGTTTTATCTTATCCACACAGTGGAATCTATTCCTGATGATTATATGGCAATGCAAGTAAATTTAGAAAGGGGATGTGGCACTTTTCCAAAGAATTCTTTATTTGTGTTCAACTTTTTGAAGAAAATAAGTAACCATTTGTCCTGAAATTAACAGATATTATTCACATCATTATGTTTGACTATCATGGAAGATTTCATCAGTGTTGGATAACTGGTTACTATGGTAAACAGATTTATACCCCATTGGTATGATTTTAAGGGGGGTACAATGAAAGCCATCTATAATTCCTAGAATATACAGCCATTCATCTTGATATTTACAGGTAATCATCTACTTATAATGCACTACCACTATGACAAGTTTCATTAATGTTTAACACTTGGTAGCTATGGTAACAGAAATAATTTATTAAAAAATACACATTAAGGAGATACTATGTATAATTCCTGGAATATTCAATTAATCATCTTGATATTTATGGGTAATCATCTGCTTATCATGTCTTACCAGTATGACAAGTGCCATCAATGTTGGTCAATTGGTTGCTATGGTAACAGAAATCATTTCTTAAAAATTGCACATCAAGGGGGTACTATGTATAATTCCCAGAATATTTAATCAATCATCTTGATATTTTCAGGTAATAATCTGCTTATCATGTCCTACCAGTATGACAAGTGCCATCAATGTTGGTCAATTGGTTGCTCTGGTAAGAGAAATAATTTGTTAAAAAGTGCACATTAAGGGGGTACTTTGAAAGCCATGTATAATTCTTAGAATATTCAATCAATCATCTTGATATTTACGGGTAATCATCCGTTTACATGTTCTACCAGTATAACAAGTGCCTCGATGTTGGTAATTTGGTTGCTATGGTAACAGAAATCATTTGTTAAAAGAGTACCCATTTTCGTAAAAATCTAAGACTCATGTAACCTTTGACATTAAGCACATAATATGTTCATCATTTTGGGAGAAATAAGCATGGAAACATTTCATTAAACTTATCACATCTCATCAATCACAACAGTGGACACTTTATTGCCATCACTGGTCATCAACGTGTTACGCGGTAAACACGATACAAAAATATGTCATATTCCGCAACGAATATGGCATATTCACTTGCGGTGTATGACAGATTCACCTGCGGTATATGGCATACACACCAACCAATGAGAACGTGATACGGAAGTGCGCAATTGTCAATTGCATCGATTGAACGAACAAGTAAAACGTTATAAATTATTATAGTGATTATTGAATCAACAGTACTGTGTATCGAATATATTATTAACTTAGCAGAAGTATCAGTCACCAATCTCGCGTAATAAACTTACTCACGTTTCACGTTTTCACCTGCAGTATATGTCATATTCACCTGAAATCAATGTATTGCATATTCACTGCGGAATATCGCATACTCACCTGCGGAATATGCCATATACCGCAGGTGAGTATGGCATATTCACCCGTATCACAAATACCGCGCAACCATGAATGTATGCCATATACCGCGTAACACAACGGACATGTTTTACACTCAGAGTAATACATGCTGTTGTTCTCAACTTTTTTTTATGTCTGATGGTTTTTTTGAACTGTTCATTGTTTTTAGAATTCATTAAGAAGCATTTCTAGTATTTTTAATTGGGTGTAATAGTTGTATATATCTCTTAGTTTGTTTATGACAAGTGACGTGGTAACTTGTTGATGGCAAAATAGAGCCACATTCCACCTGATGATCTCATAGACATATAGTCACATAAAGATTGCGGATGCTTTGACAGAAGTAGTCGTTGAAAGATCTATGAATGAGGATTTTGATGCAAATGATATAAAAGATGACTCAGTGAGATCAGCTCATAATTTACTATGTCCCTACGCATAATGTGACAGCCGCATTCTGCATAGTTTTATTATCATAAGCAAATACAATATATCAAATGGCCCAGATGAAATATCCATTGATTAAATATTATCAGACATACTCAAAATAGGTTTTTAAAAATGTTTTCATGCTAATTCCTCCCAATTTGATGAAGATTTTCAATGTCTTAGGGTGTGTCTTAAAATTTTTACGAAATGTGTACTTTTTTAACAAATATATTTCTACCCACATTTGACCCACATTGATGAAACTTGTCATCATGGTAGGACATGATAAGTAGTAGATTGTCTGTAAATATCATAATGATTGTTTTGATATTTAAGGAATTATAAATGGCTTTCATAGTACGCCCTAATGTGTACTTTTTAACAAATGATTTCTGTTACCATAGCAACCATTTGCCCCGCATTTATGAACTTTGTCATAGTGGAAGAACATGGTGAGTAGATAACTACCTGCCAATAACAAGATGATTGGTTAGATATTCTAGGAATTATATATGGCTTTCATAGTACCTCCCTTAATGTGTACTTTTGAAAAAATGATTTATGTTTCCATAGCAACCAATTGATACACATTGATGAAAATTGTCATGGTTGTAAGACATGATATGTAGACGATTACCTGTAAATATCAAGATGATTGGCTGTATATTCTAGGAATTATAGATGGCTTTCATTGTACCCCCATTAAAAATCATACCAAGGGGTATAAATCTGCATAGTATAGTAACCAGTAAACCAACACTGATGAAACTTTCCATGATAGTCAAACATAATGATGTGAATAATATCTGTAAATAACAGGACAATTGGTTATTTATTTTCTTCAAAAATTTGGACACAAGTTAAGAATTCTTTGGAAAAGTGCCACGTCCCCTTTCTAAATTAATTTGCATTGCCATATAATCATGAGCAATAGATTTCACTGTGTGGATAGGATAAAACAGCACTTGATTTGATATTATCAAACATACTCTGAATAAGTTTTCTAAAATGTTTTTATGGTGTTTCTTTCCAATTTCATTAAAATAATATGTGTTTCGTCTCATGGGGTGTCTTACATTTTGACGAAATTGTGTACTTTTTGACATATGATCTTCGTTTCCATAGCAACCAGTTGACTAACTTTGATGAAACTTATTACTTTTGTAGGACATGATAAGTACATGATTACCTGTAAATATCAAAATGATTGGTTGTAAATTCTAGGAATTTTACATGGCCTTCCTAGTACCCCCCTCAAAATCAAACAAGGGGGGTATAAATCTGAATATTTCCAAAACGCTGAAAAACTTGACACCAGTATTTTCAGAATCAATGTAGAATCATAAACCACAAATTACCTACATAAAGAGAAATTTGCTATTTTTCAAAACCACTTTCAGTGGCGTAGGAACAATGTACGCCAAAACGCCAGTGCGTAGTGTTGAAAAGTGAGAATAAAAAGGCTTATTAATTTTCCTATGTTCTTTATTCATATTTTCTCATTGTATTGTCCAAAAGTAATCTCGAGCACACTAGCCTAAAGAAATGTTTTGTGGATACCATATGATATGCTCGTTTTTTCAATAGTACTCTTTTGCATGTTTTTGTGCCTCTGTTATTTTTCTAATCTGGGCCACAGATAAATAACACTTTTTGAAAAATAAAATATTGAAAGTTACCTTGTTTTTTCAATTTCACAATATCGATTTATATTCCGTTGCTAGGCAAAATCATAGACAGAAATTATAGTTAAGTCAGCAATTATCTATTTTCTTACTAAATCACCAATTGTTATTGGTAGTACTTCTTGAAATATGAATGTTAAATACAAAAACAACTTGAAAATGTTGATTACTCAAATACGCGTTCCATCGATTTCAGGTCTAGAAAAGCTATTACCTAGATTTTTATTTCATTTGAAAGATAATAGATTATTGTTTTAGGAAATATAACATTTTTGGCACCCCCTAAGTCACGTTGACCTCGATTTGACCTTTGTGGTGGGAAGTTTATTTGGCCTTGCGAATTAGTGTTATAAAAAAGGTTGCAGACATTAGGGTTAATTGTTTCATTGATCACGAATGCGTTTCTCTAAATCAATTGATCAAGCTAGATTCTTTAATCTGTACGTGTCGTATTGCACGGTACACGATGGATTCAGACAATACTATATATCTCAATTTAATTATTCGAAAATGATTAAAAATCTCTCATTGTTATTTGGAAATTGATCGTCTATATCGTTCGAGACATAAGAAAAGTGAGAATGATTTGTGATTTTTCATGGCGATTTTAAATGATGAAAATCATTCGAACATTTTAAGCACATTAAAAGGGGCATCAAGGATTTTAAGCTTGCATATAAAATCGAAACGCCAACCTATACGTATGACCAATCGCCCATACAAATGCATCGCTTAAACATTTCCGTTCACATTTAGGTTATGAAAACATTGCATTCTATTGCCATAAAATGACGTTTAACGAGCATAAAATAGGCGTTTTAATATAGAATATTTGACACAATTGTTTCATAGTTTTGGCGGGATTTTTTGGCGTAGTGTTGAATTTACACCTTCCTACGCCCCTGACTTTTACACCACGCTCATCAAGTATAATGGTGCAAATAACCAACAAGCAAACAACAATGTGTGAGCTTTTTCTTATATCTCCATGTTTTTCAGAATCATTGGAATAATCCAGAATTACGAGATGATTATTACGACAGCAGTGGTGTGCTGATATACTACACACCAAATCTGCGTCCTTATGATGGGGGCATGATGATAATAGGCCAAACTAGTTTAAACATACCACCCAACATGCCTCTGTATACAGCAACCAGTAAGATGTCTAAGGTGTGCACCAATTACATCACCCAAGATACTGGACCACTGGCAATAGTCGGAAATTATCTTCATATGCATTCCCTAGGTATTTGTATTTCCTTGAAATCTACAGTATTTTGACTTGGTATGTGCAATTCCTCGACACCTACAGTACATGTACATATAGTTTTGACTTGGTATGTGCAATTCCTCGACATCTACAGTACATGTACATATAGTTTTGACTTGGTATGTGTAATTCCTCGACATCTACAGTACATGTACATATAGTTTTGACTTGGTATGTGCAATTCCTCGACATCTACAGTACATGTACATATAGTTTTGACTTGGTATGTTAATGTGGACCAGAAAATGAAATTTCAAAACTATAGATTCCCACTTTCCTTTTTGTTTATCTTCAAATATCTGGTATGAGAATCAGGACAGTAACAGAATACTTTTCATAATACAACCATTTAATACTGATGATGTGTGGAAAACATTTTTTCTTGTTATGCAAACATTTTGTCATCAGTTATAAACATTTTGTTCATGGTATTTTTCCTCAGATTCTCAGTTTCAAATGTGACCATTTCAACATTGTTCTTTAACAAGTGAACACTGTATCTCTGGTAAAATTTTGGCAGAATGTGTATTGCCAGCTATAGCAGTGGATCTATATTTTGTAGGTAAGTCAATAAAACTGGAGCAGTATACAGATGGTAAGATGATCAGCTCTCTTGGGGAAGTCGATGTCTATCACTATGACCACCCAGTGAGGCATATGTAAGTATTTAGCCTATTAGAGACAAAATATCACATTGAAGTAGTAGGAAACAAATTCTGAGAATATTTAAAATGATTTGAATAACCAATGGTTTTAACGATTTTAGAATTTCTAAATATGATCATTAAGTTTTCAATAGTGACTAATGTAATGATACAAGATGTCAATAAAAGTTATATATATATAATAGTGCCTGGGAAGAATTTGAAAGACCTTATCACCTCATGTGCCAGTCATTTAAGAAATTATTGTAAAATGGATAATTACATTTCCTTTATTGGTTCAAATGAGACTGCCATTGAATCTTTTAATAAAAAAAACAAGAATTAAAAATTGAATTAACTGTTGAATTGAAGTGAATTAAAAGTTAATCCCAATGAGAATTTTGATTAGTCACAAAAATGTATTTCAACCATTTTTTCACTTCTGCATTTACTGATTTACTGCATTGACAATCTTTAATAGAGAAGAAAAAACATATTTGCTCAGAATATCAAAAAACTATTTTTTAGTTTTGAGACACCAGTTGAGATTCAGAGTCAAGATGAGGTATATCTGACTTGCAACTACAATTCTACAGGAAGAAATTCAACCACCATTTGGGGTCATGGAACATCAGCTGAAATGTGCTTAGCTTTTATACAGTACTACCCAGTCAGCCACCACATGCTGTTCATTCTCAATCAGGATTCCAAGGATTACTGTGCAGTTGCAGTGCGGGATGCAGGGAAGCTGGGAGTTGTAGAAGGCTGCAACCTTGATGATTTCATACAAACTCAGCTGAATTCAATAATTCATAAGATAGAGAATGTGTGTGATGTAACAGGACAAAGCTGCTATCATAACTGCTATACATACATGAAGGACCTCATGAAAGACAATGTATGTGTAAGAGAAAACAATGTCATTGATATGGTTGAATCCGCTACTTCCGACTATCAGAATATCAATGCATTCTGGCTTGGATTTAAATCATGTGATAAAAGAATTGCTGCTAATGCGGCAACAACCATGGCAACAACTCATTGGGTGAAAACAACTGATGATATTTCCATGGTGAGAACTGTTGAGGGAGACACTGGTGAGACCATAATCGATGATATTGCAGATAATAACGTGGCAACAACAGTTGGTCAACACTAATAAGTTCAAAGTAGTTACCATGGCAACAGCCGTTGGAGAGGAAACTCTTAAGGAGGCCTTTACTGATAAAAACAAAGCTGTTACCATCAGCATCATTGACCATTATATCATTAGTTTAACTGAATAGTATAATGCAAATATTCAATTAGAAATCTAAGTAGTAAAGAATTGAAAGTTCGAAATAGACTTTCATTTGCCAACCTCTCAATAAGATATTGTTATGCACACTTGTTCATCCTAATCATCATCAGCATGGACTGGTAAGGTGCAGAGAGCTAGTTCATCTATTGAAAAAATTAGAAATATTTTTTGATAATTTGGCTGGTCAAACTTGACAGGAAACCTTAAACAGGGATTACCTAAGGAAATGATCAGAGAAATTGAAAATAAGCTGCAACAGTATGGAATGTTGAAAGAATTTGAAAACACTTATGAAAAAGAGAAATGAGCTGTTTATTCCTATTCCACATAATTCTAATAAAAGTGCTCCACATTATCTAAATAACTTTCTAAATAATTCAATTCAACAAATCATAGAGATTCACAAGCAATTAGTTAGGACAATTTCACTTCAAAGCAACTGTTCCAAACTTTACCAAATTGGTCTGCCCTTTGCCAGTCCATTTTCGCAAACTATGTATTACAAGAACACAAATGTGTACAAAATGTCCCCACCAAGTGGTGATCCCGTGAAATGGTTATCCTGAAAATGAGTAGACAAGACTTTACCAACACAATTTGAGGACGGAAAATTCAAAGTGGCCACCTTAGAATTTACCCAGAATGCCAAAAATTTAGTCAGTTCTAGATTTTCATACTAAGAACCACCCCTGAAAATTTGAAATTGATCCGTCACACAGTTAACCAGAAAACATGTAAACAAGACTTTACAGACAAGATTTCAGGATGGAAAATCCAAAATGGCTGCCTTGACATTTACCCAGAATGTCAAAAAACTAATCTGTTTGTAGATTTTCATACTAAGAATCATCCCTGAAAATATGAAATTGATCTACCAAACGGTTCACCTGAAAACGGGTAGACAAGACTTTACAGACAAGATTTTAGGACAGAAAATCCAAAATGGCTGCCTTAACATTTACGCAGAATGCAAAAAAAGTTCTAGCAGGTCCAAAACCTAATCAGATCTAGAATGAAGTGAGCTGAACAAGATGTTAAAGTTTTAAAAGCAACTGTGAAGCAGTTTTTCTTAAAGTTTGCAGACAAGGATTTTAGCATTTGACTTCAAAATGGCCGACAGGAAGTAGGTATCGAGTTAATTTTTTTTCATCCACATCTGTATGCATTCATAAGTTATCCCTGAAAATTTGAAGGTGATATCTGTAGCGGTTTTGGAGAAAACTGCCGGACGTACGGACAGACAGACGGACAGACGGACAGACAGACGGACGGACGCGCCTAGGCCGACAATATGGCCCCACACTATGTGGTGGGGACATAATAAAAACAATTCAATCATATTTACCTTTTAAGTTTTTCAAAAAATTCTTTGCTCCATGGTTGCCTAGCAACAGCCTCTGATATTACATTTGCATGTATATCTGTATCAAAATTGAATATGTTACTGTAGGCTTGCCATCTGAAAAAAAACATTAAATAACTTATTCCGTCTCTCTATTATATCATTTAAATAAGAATCCATCCAATCTAATGTTTTCTAATGCTTACATTTCTTTTTAAGTATGTACATACATTGTACTATTATAAGTTAGTATGCAAAATAGCATGAAATTATTGATCTTTAACCACTTTGACAAGTGAAAAGTAAAGAAACATCAATCTTTTGAAGAAGTTAATCCCACAAAAAGATTTTAGCAAATCACATAGATTTTGGCAAATGACTACTCATTTTAAACATTTTTACGACGAGGAGAGATCGTAAACCTAGAACATATTTTTATTTCAAATGCACATGTAAAAGATATTAAGATGACAAAATGTCACCACCTACAGGTAGTTGTTCACAATATTATAAGTTCAATCTTGGTCAGCTTTAAACTTCTGAGAACTTATAGATGATTTTGAAAAAAAAGATTTGGTCAACTTGAAGCAAGTTGAAAGAAGACCTTTTTACCTTTTTGACCTTGAGAAGGTCATTGAAGGTCAAATCTCAAATCTAAAGTCAGATTTGAACTTCTGAGATGATTTTGCAAAAATTCGAAGTCAGTCTAAACAGTTTGTTAAGTTATTGGAAGTTCTTAGAATTTGTTACAGATGCCGGACACCAACCGTCCACTATCAACTGCCGTCACAAAAAATGGAGACAGTAACAATATGTCACCACTTTTGGTGGTGACACAATAACCATTTGAGTATATTTGGTGGGGTTATTCATTTAATGGCATTTAATATGTAACACCTGAAGTATTACAAACACATCTTGAATTACAACTAGATAACAGTAACATCAAGGCGTAACATCCCATCGAATGGCCATAGCTGCTATTTTTGGAAACAGCTGCCAATTAAAAGTAATGCTTGCCACATTATAGTCAAAGACACCAAATTGACAGTAGAGTCTAATGATATTTCACTTCTGGTTTATCGGCAAGGATAATTTACTCAGTAAAGCTTTATAGAACGGATAAGATTAATTGCTTTGGGTTAAATATTTTTCAAAGCGCCAAAGCTTCAAGTAGGTGCCATATGAGCAGGGTATTGGTTAAAACTAGGCACAGTGCCTGATAAAAAGGGTCTGAGGAGATCATAGATATTTATATGTGTCATATATTTGTCATTGTATTTCTTTAAATCCCTGTGATACCATAACCTCTAAAAATGGAACGTCTGGCAAGTGGAACACTTTTTGGCAGAACCAAGGGTGTTCCATTTAAACAGGTTTTGCTGTTCTGCTATCTATACTTACATAAAAGTGAATTTTACGTGAACAGTTTCGTGCTGGTCTTTACTCTTCCAATCATTGCATATTCCTCTCCTACAACATAGCAATAACTCATAAGTATGTGTAATTACAAAGTATACTAGCATCTCTAAACATTGCAGTGGTCCTTCAACTTATAAGTTCATGCAATTACAAAGTATAGTTATCTCTAAACATTGCAGTGGTCCTCTAACTTATAAGTGCATGTACATGATATTACAAAGTATAGTCATCTCTAAACATTGCATTGGTTCTTCAACTTATAAGTACATGCAATTACAAAGTATAGGCATCTCTAGATTGCAGCTGACCTTCAACTCCTTCTTATCACTACTGATCAGGATATGGAAAGGATGAGTCTGGAAATATGCCCTTTTGGTCCCTCAGTTATATGTATGTGAAATATGATTTTTATAACTGTCCTAGTTATATTTATTTATTTATTCATTTATTTAAGTGTCACCTATCTAAGATAGCCAGCCCTACCTGGGCTTATGAGACACATTTTACATAAGTTATATAATAATAATACATAATAATTTTAACAATACAAATATAAAATTAGTGCAGTTCAGCTCAACATCATTATTGATTTTAATTTTTAAATAAAACTCTTTTCCTTATATAGAATATTTTTTGCAAATACTTTCCAAAGCATTTAATATATTTTTTATTTTCAAAGATATCTTTAAAGGAATTGTCTTTGATTTCTTGAAGGAAAGATTTTCGAGCTTTTGAATAATACGAACACTCAAATACAAAATGCGTTTCATTTTCAATTTCATTTGAGTTACAAATTTGGCACTGTCTTTGGTTTACTGGAGTTTTCGGTTGAGTAAATCTCCCCGTTTCTATTGCTAAAGGAAGTATACCAGTTCTTAACTGAGTTATTAAAGACCGTTCACCCCTTGTCAATGATGATGTAAGTAAATACTGTTCTATTGGACAGTCATGTTTAAAAGTTAGGTAAGTCCTCAATTTGGGTTGTGATTCAATATCTGTACGTAATTTTTCTTGTAATTTTAATTTTAGTTTTCTCTTAACAATGCTGATATTAACATATTGTTTCTGGTTATAATGATCATTCATCCCTAACTCGTTGAAAATTGATTTTATATCTGAACACCATCCATTAGGTTGATTATAGTCAATATTAAATATTTTTTTGGTGAGTCTATTATTTTCCATGAATGTGAATCTATTCCAAAGACACACAATATCTAGTGTTCTAGTGTCTTTCGGAGTAAGCCAGCCAGAATCGCTATATAGAGCAGGAATTGAAGCATGTCTATGAACGCCCATAAATGCACGTATGGCACGTTGGTGAATATTGTCACATTTTTGATAAGGTTTCGCTCCCCAAATACCAGCACTATAGTTCATAATAGGTAATACACATGTGTCATACAGTTTACTGAATGTCTGGAATGATAGTCCTTCATGTGATCTGAATTTAGAAATAAGACCACCAAGTCCTCTGCTTGCTGCTGAGCTCAGATGTTCTGCTGTAAATGTATAGTCTAATGTTTCGTTGAAGAAGCAACCCAGATATTTGTAGCTTGACACTTTTTCGATTTCAGAATCATTGAAGACAAAATTATAGTTCGTTTTAGGCATGGTTTTCCTTCTGAAATGCACAATTTTAGTTTTTCCCATATTTATAGATATTCTCCACTGATTGCACCACATTTTAACAATATCGAGCAGCTTTTGTAGATCGGTTTCGCTTTCACAAATCAGAGCAATGTCATCTGCATATAATAAAACGTTTATAAGTTCATCACCATATTTGACGCCAATTTGACTAGAGATTATATCCTGCTGAGAGTCAAAATAAGTATCCTAACAGAAAACAAATAATCATCATCATAGAAAAAAAACACCAATTGCAACATGTATGACATGTAAAATAGAAATAACCTAAAAGACCCATGAAGAATTTTTTTAAAAAATCATATTTTTTAAATATATTTTAGGATTTAATTTTTCAAATTTTTGAATTTCCCGCCAGTTTAATTTGAAGTGGGAAAAGCAAGATGGCTGCCATTTGGTAAAAGAAATATGACAAAAAGTAGCTTCACTTTTAGTTTTTACAATGAGCACAGTTTTCCAGTTTGTTTTTTTTGACTGATTCTGACTCTTCATCACCAGGGTCATGTATAGAGATTATAAAATTGAAACCAAAATGTTGTGCTCAACATGAATTTGATTGAAATATGTATAGTTTCACCAACACAATTGAAGTGTCAAAACTGTATGCTCAGTAACTTTGAGTGACTATAATCCCTTGATTACTCAGATAAACACCAATTCACTTATCAAGAAATACCATTCAATGTATATACAAAGAAAGTAAGCAATGTTTTGGAGGATATGTTTCAAACTTTTTGTATAAATTATTCATTTAGTATTTGCACTTGATTTTTTCCAATTGTGGCATAGTCATATGCAGTCTCTTTGATGCCAATATTCTTCATCAATTGTGATACAAATTGATATTTTTGTACTCTCAGAAGAAGGATAAGATATTGAAGTTTAATAATATGTGTGATTGAGTTGGTTTTTCAGACATTACAATTTTCAGACATTAATATTTTTTAAGTCGATATCCAGACTCATTCCCAGACTCATCCTTTCTGGTGTTCTTGTGTGAAAAATATTTGACTACTAACACAAAGTCACGCTGCTCACCTGGAATGACTTGGGCTGAAAGAATCAACAGATTAAACCTCTGGAGTCTAACACTGAGTCATATTACAACGCTGGTGTGAGATGGTATGAAAATTAAATTTAATCCCTTTGATCTCTACAAACCAAAATCCACACCAAGTCACACTGAAACCTTGGTATTAAAATACAAATAAATTTTCTAAGTACTTGATTGCTGTTTACACTCCCTTAGATAGCTCTTTAATTTAAGTGTGATTTTTAAACTATTAGCAGAGAGATTACAAGAATAATATATTTTTTTTGAATTTTAACCATACATGTACATAGCAGGTTAGTTTGAAATGAACAATACAATAAACAAAAGCAATATGAACAATCTAGATCTGATCTTCATTGTTTAATGCAATACTACATACAGGGAGTAATATTGTACCTTTATAACCCCTTTAAGTTATCGAATCCTACAACCACTTTAGATTGTGGTCGTATGCACGAACCATTGATCCAAGTCAATGCTTTTACAAAGTTGCCGAAATTACTACGCATTGCACACTTAAATGACCTACTAGACTTTACCTCGATACATTCCTTAGTACTTCTTTTTATGTAGTTGAATCGCCCATTGTATGGATTTATCGGCAGAACGAAGAGATTTTCGTTTCTGATAGCAATACGTTACTTGTAATATTTAACTTATTTCAACCGTCAAATTCCTCAATTTAGTAGTACATCTGGTCCAGTCATAAGGGGAATCTTCCTCTAACGGGCTTCTCTAAATACTCATGAATGTATTGAGGTAGGTCATTTATGTATGCAATGCGTAGTATTTTCTCCAACTTTGTAAAAACATTGACTGACCAATGATTCGCGCGTACAACCACAAACATAGTGGGGGTCGTAGGATGTGATAACCCATTAAGATATCCTGGTTAGTGTTACTGTACCTGAGCAGTCCATTGAAGGATACTCTCCATGTCCTCAATGGCTCTATACATGACAGTGTTAGCCCACCAACTGTGAATGTATTACCATCGGTATTGTACACAATACTATCAGGGTGGCTAGGGTGCTGGAAGTGACCCTCCCCAGGGATGTACAAGAGCAGCCACACCTCAGCCTTTCTGTTGTGGCGTCGCCCCACTCTACAGACTGTGTACGCGCCATCTTTGTTGAAGCCATCAAAAAAGGCACAATCTATTGCCTGGAAGTGACCCGTTGTACACATAGATTAAAAACGATAAATTTTTATCAATGTGCAATGAAAATGTAATTTAATGACACCCTCAAAATGAAAGTGATGATTGATAGATTTGATTTGTAAAGCATAATGGAATGGTGCATTTTGTTTATAAATGTATAAATGTGAAATTCTGGTATTGCAAGTTTATATAATTCTTGCTATAACATATCTCGTATATATGTTATAGAGGGACTCAAAGAGCTAAAAGGCTGTTATCATGGACATCTAATCACTGGACTGCAAATATCAGTCTTGCAGAACTATGTGTGTTATGGTCACTTGGTAATCCAAATTGAGAAGGAAACCAATTTTTAAAAAGGTATTTCCCTATTATGGCATTGTGCACAAACTCTCATGCGCAAGGGTAATTATCAGAGTACTTTTTAATTTTGTGAAAATCAGACGAATATTTCAATTTCAATAACAAACTCAACTAATAAACAAGTATATGTATATGTGAAAATTATCAAAAGGCAAAATTGCAATTGTAGTCCAGTGAAGTCGTGACCTAAGCCAGGAAGAAAAAAGCGATGAGGCAACAAATATTTCCAAACCTAAAGTGACAATGCAAGCACCTCATCTGCCTCATCCTGATTACGCTAGAGTGAAGTCCACGGTATTATTTAGTAAAATACATATGTATTGAAAACAACTTTATTCCAAAGTTAGCATGATATTCATAGGATAACATGTGAAAATAAAAACTGTATTTTTGTAATCAGTGGTAAAATATGATATTTTTGACAAATTTTCACTTAACCATAACATACGGTTTTTTAGCCATGACATACGACGACGTATGCGATGGTTTATGGATTTTTGCTACTTCAGACTCAAAACGAGGCTAAGTGTCAACATCGCCGGATCGTTTGGAAATTCGAATTAAATAACTTAATTTCCGACGATTCTGATGATGACTTTAACCATGGAATAAAAAGAACATCCTATGATTAACTCGTGATATGATTTTAATCCACTCAAGGATATTGATATCTACACTCTCTCGCTACGCTCGCTCATGCAGATATCATTTCCATTCGTGGATAAAAATCATATCACTCATAAATCATAGGATATCCTCTATATACCTTACAGTTTAAAGTATAAAATCCTTCAATATGACAAGCATTTTTCTGGACACAATTTATTTTGATATTTCGTAGGTAAGATGTTTAAATGGAATATATCCATAACTGTTTATCAAGGAGAATAATAGCTAAAGTCTGATCTGAGTTGATTTCTACATACATTAGGATCTGAAGATAGCTGCTGTGGCCATTCCATATCGGCAATATTCTCATGTGATCCTTTTCCATAACCAGAAATCTTAGTTTTCTTGAAGCTTTCATCTTTTCCATGTTGAATCTCTGCCTGTTTGTGTTTAAATTTTCGGAGAACAAACAGTAAGTAGAATGCATATTTTTTCAAGTAGAACCATTTTCCTGTAAATAAACAAAATAAAATTTACAAAAAATTTATGTCTACCGTTGTTCAGCTTTTAGAATATTAGAGCTAAACAAGTAGATTCATTTGGGACAGTATTGATAGAATTGTACCTTCGATGTTCTGATATTTTTTACCGCAACAAACCGTTTCAGCAACCAGCGTAATAGAGTGGATCACCAGTGAATAGTAAGAACCCATTTTAACGGAGGCCCTTTTCATTTTTTGTTTGGTACTATTTACAAATGTTTAGGTATACAGGTTTCTATAGTTTTACAGTTTTCTAAAGTTCTACAGTTTATTACAGGTCTTTAGTTTTTTATGTTTGTCTTAGTGTGTTCATCTTTACTGGTTACATGAAGCTTATAACATTATTTAGGTATTACTTAGATTCATGTGATCAGACGTGCCTTTATATTTATAAGGAGTGTATTTATATAGTCACCAGCGGATCTAGACAGGGGCGTGGGGGGCGCACGCCCCCCGTAAAAAGTGGGAAAATTTGTGTTTTGCCTCATTGCTTTTTACAAAATTTGAATCTTTTTTTAATTCGCTCACAGTTATCACCACACGCCCACCCTAACACAAAATCCTGGATCCGCCCCTGATAGTGTATAATAGGGGAACTTCCCACTATTTGTGGGTGGATTCAGAATAATAATTAGCTATGATAATTCATTTTGATACTCATAGCATCTCTCTCTGTTGCATCGCAGATGCTCTGATATTTCGAGGTTGAAATGATGATCAAAGGGGCTGGCCTAAATATTCATAATATTGATTTAAGCGGTGACGTATTGAATCCAATCAGATAAACCGAACAGGAAATTTGACACATTAATTTGACTAAATTGCGATAAGAAGCCCTGTTAAACAAACATACCATGGCCAAAGTTTTATCGGATAAATTCCAACTGGACGAAAGAAATCCCATGAATTGCTTTCTAAGTGAGTCACGTGACCTTCCATAGCCATCGTGACAGTTTAGTTAATGTCTTTATAATTCATACATTTCAAATCTCTTTGTTTTATTCATTGATTAAATGCTATCTATAGATCTCATGTAATGTAACTGTATGATTTAGATGAAGGTAGACTGGGATATTTAAGTGCTATAAAGCTGTTTTTATTCAACAAATTTTTTTCATATCGGGATTCAACTTTCCCTAAAATTAAAGTTAGTCTCAGTTCAAAATGCCACCAAAGCTCAAGTTTGAACTACAATCCTGACTGAAATTCAGCTTTACGATGGGATAGACTCACTATCGATGCCATTCTGTGTATTCTGAGGTGCCGCACCTACCGCACCCTTAAATCTCATGCCAACATATGTCATCGTGTTTCATGCTTCTGATTGGAGAGCTCGAAAAAGCTTGATTTGAGGATCGCGGAGATCGAAACTAAGTCCACATAAGACCATGTTCTCTCCAGAAGGATAGAGATGGAAAGGGCGTGGCTTACCACCATGATGATAATCATAGCCAGTGGTATAGCCAGGATATGGTGACCGGGGGTTCTATTTTTATGTTATTCACAAATCCCCCCCCTTCATTAGGGTTCCTCAAATAATGCAATTTGTACAATTACACTCCCTCCAAAAGCATCTTTAAGTTTGAATTCTTATATGAATAATTTCTAAAGAAAAAACTATTTTGGGAGGGGAAATATAATTCATTTTAATACCTTAATTAAGTTAAGTAGACAATTGAATTTGAATTTTATTTAACAAAAATGATGTCTTTATTTACGTTAAGTAAAGTCTGAAAGTAATAGGCTTTATCAAGAAACCTCTCCCATTGAAATAACACAGGACGTAAAAATGATTTTCAAAAATGATCTTGTAGCTTTGTAACTTTGATGTTCAAGAAGTAAAATAAACAGGCAACATGCAAAAAGTCAGACAACTTATAATCAATTTTCTGCATCAAAATATATTTCGGTGAATCTTTTACTGAATATATATCCTGAAATCTGATTTTTTACCCCGAATCCACCACTATTTCGTCTGATTTCTGGAAGACCCTGGAGCATGATTTGTTACCAAAGAATATCAACTATTTCGCACAATGTAATTTATTCGCTAAACATATCATGATATTATCATGAAAATGGAGAGCAAGTAAACTGAAATGATAACAATTTGAATTCTATACAATCTCTTAGATGAGTGGAGTGTATCTGAAAAAACAAAATCATTTTTTGCAATGATTGATTTTTCTTTGAAAAAGTGATGGGTAAATAAATACTGAACAAATGAAAGAATGAATAAATTAATGCTTCTATTTGCCCCATGCACTTATTATTTTTAATCAAATATAAAATATGGACGGGCACTTTCATTCCGAATCTTATGTAATTTAATTTAATCATTTTTTGACAGAACTATTTTTATTGAGACTTCTCAGATCAGCCTCACATACTGTACCAGGGCTCACATGTTTCGTGCAATTGTAAACAAAAAATGTAAATTGTGAAGTTACAAACAACTCGGCTAAATTATCTGATAGTGGTCATACAATATCCTGTTAAATGGTTATAATGTCGTAGTAAGAAGTTCCACCAGAAATTCACCATGCGTGACATTCGTGCAAAGCGTTACCTTTTGGTATTTATTCACCATCAGCTATGTCAATAACGACATGGGCTTTCATCTAATTGAAAGCCCATGATAACGATCAGCAATGTCAACATATCATCAATAAACAGTATATGATATACGCCCTTCTCTAAAATCTTCCCATTGATCATTATTCAAAACCGATCATCACATAACTAATTAATCCTATGAAAAGTGAGGTTTCACAAGTGAAGTTTTCAGGACACCCTGTATATCCAGGTTGGTTTCTTATTAAGCGTTCTCATTCTCATTATTTTCGAGAAATCCATCATCATTTTGGTTAAGAAAAATTCTACGGTCTGCTGGATCCATTTTGACAGTTTTGCTTTAGCAAGAAATTTCAACAAATTGACTGTTTCTACACTGAATAAAAAACATTTTCCTGGGAATACGAGGGGTGATCAATAAGTAATGGATGCTTTTTTACGCCGATACTTTTTATAGACCAATCTCTTCGATTTTCTAACCATTGATACATCATTCAATTATCTATCAACTCTGAAGATTTGAAAACAAAACATGTAATATATTTTTATATATCTTTATTTCCGTGAAGAATGTATAGGTACCCCGGGACCGACATGACGTCAAACATTCTGAAGCTATTTTAGCTTGTTTAACATGCAATGCAGTTGAATGCAGACTGAACAAAACAAACCTGATTATGGTCATGAATTACCCCAATTTTGTTATGCCATAGTTGCTTTCGAATATTATATCATCACTATGTGGTATTGATCATGCCACATTCATTCTACAGGGTCCTCTACATAGGTTCCATCAAGTGCTACATGTACACAATTCCTCATCCTCTTAACTCAAGATTGTAAGACAAGGCTGAATGCATTCTCTGACATGGTAGCAAGATGCAGTTGCACGGGTTGTTTTATTTCATCAATGTCAATAAACCTGCGTTCTTTCTCTATAGAAATAAGTATAGTACAGGGTGGGCCAAAGAAACGCCACTTTTTTTTCAAAATGCTATAACTTTTTTAATTTTTGATACAAAATCATAATTTGCATACCAAAAGAAACTTGAGGATGCTATCTAGCCATGGGTCATGAATTATACGCTTTTACTTGAATAAAATATGTCACCAGTGTCTCACTTAAAGTCCCCGTCTAAAGTTTGAAAATATTTTTTATCATTCATTTACTATTTGTCAGGACTTTAAAAGTGATTTTAGGGATTTTTGAACAAAAAAAAAATTTGAAAAAAAAGTTGTGAGCATTTCATTTCTCAAATATTCAAATTTCCCGCCATTTTTCAAAAAAAGTTGAAATCTCTTAATCATCAAATATTTCTTAATGCATTTCAAAAAAGATTATCTTTTTAACACCAATGCAAAGGTTGAACAAAGGACACACTATTTCAATAATAAAATGCCATATTTAATGGGCCACTTCAATGTTTTAACATATCAAAAATATTTTGAAACATTAGTGATGTCACTTAGGTACCAAAAACGTTTTGAAAAAAATTGAATTTTTTTTTTCGATATCAATCTTTTCTAAATATGTTAGACTTTCATAAAAAACCAATGTTGATTGTCTAACCAGGTTAAAAGCAAGAATAAATTATGTTTTAGATATCATTGTACCATTGGTTTCTATGAGAACTAAAATTTTGAAATGCATTTTTCTCAGAACCATTTTCATGCACTGATAAGTTCATTTCTCGCTTTTTTATGAACCGATTTTCTTAATTTTTTCGGCAAAAAAACATGGGAGGATGAATGCTATGCATTGGTATGAATTGTGGCTAATTATAAGATATGAGTGACCTCTAAAAGTTGGTTTTAAATAAAGTCACAAATTGTGGAACAAAAAGTCTATCAAAAACCACTTTTTGAAATTTAAAAAAAAAGTTTCACATATCACACTTTGATAACATTGGGTAAGACTACAATATAAGCCAAAGTGGTTTAAACTTTATATGGGGCCTTTAAACATGTGGTGTGCCATGAAAAATAAGCATAATTTACAAAATGTTCCTGAACTTATACAGCCTGATGATCGCCAAGCTGATAGCCCTGATGCAAACCCAAGTGAGAATAGGGTATGGGAAGGTCTCCAGGAGATTGTATTAAGGCACCCAATCTAGAAAATTGCTCAACTAAAGCTGGCAATTAAGACAGGTTGAAAAAAACTTAGCTAACATTTCATTGATACTGCTATATCAGCAAGGCAACTAACACTAAAATAAAATATATCATCAAATAGGGTGGAGGACCAATTGAACTCCTCTTTTAGATCAAATATGATCCAAGTTGAAGGACTTGTTACATTATATTATTACTAAGAACCCCTCACAATACTTTCTGTTTATGTGTTACCAGTCAGCAAAATATTTCAAACAACACAACACTTGTTGCATATAAA